TGGGGTCCACATTTCTTAGGCTGTGGTGAGGGGGGGGGGTACTAAAAGAAGCAATTTTAAATTGAATTGAATAGTTCAAAAAATAACATACAAGAGACGGCGAACTATCAAAAAGCACCGATGGACGTTGTAACATCTCATAATCATATATTTTTTTTTTTGCATTAAAATAATAATAATAAATAAATATATACATAAAAAACATAAGACTTTTAAAAAAAAAAAATCAAAATGGGCTTTAACTGGGTTTAACTTATCAGTCTATTTATAGAGAGTGATGTCCCTTGTCAACACTTGTAGTGTGAAATGTATAGATACAATTTAAAAAAAAAAAAAAAAAACTATGCAATAGCGTGATTTGCCCCATTATCTTTATTTTTTTTTATTTTTTTTTTTGATGTCCCTTGTCAACACTTGTAGTGTGAAATGTATAGATACAATTTAAAAAAAAAAAAAAAAAACCTATGCATTAGCGTGATTTGCCCGATTATCTTTATTTTATTTTATTTTTATTTCCAGAATCCTTATTTGACTCTTTATATATACTCTTATATTTATTTTTATTTGTAAAGTAAAGACTTAACATTATGACTTGGTATGCTTGGAATTAGTTTTTGTAGTGTTGCGTTTGTTTTAAATGTGGTAAATTATAGATTTTTTTTAATTTTCAAAAAAAAAATTGTTTGACTTCGTACCGCGCTTTGAGCCTTTGGGGATGAAGCGTGTTTTTGAAATAAAATGTATAATTATTATTATTCATACACCTTTCTTACTATAACATTATTTAAGCGTTTTTATGTAAAAAAAAGGGGTCATCTCACTTTAATATATTCTGAAAACATGTTCGGTTTCTCTCTTTTAATATATTCTGAAAATACGTTCGGTTTCTCTCTTTTATTGTATAAGCAAATAGTTATTGGATTTAAAAATAATGAATTTTAAAATGTAACTAATATTGTGCTTGCTTTACATATATACAATCATATGCTACATAGTTTGTAATAAAAAGTGCATTTTCACATAAGTGAAAAATGACATACACAAAAAAAAAAGAATAAAAAACTCACTTGAAACTTTTTTTGTTCAAAATAAAGTACCAATGAAACGAAACAATGTTTGTTTATTTTACAAATGGTACGCAATATAATTTTTTTTTTTAAATTGATTCATTGACATAAAACAATATTTTAATTCAGTTTCCATGAGGGGAATAAAGCAATAAAAGATATGATTAATGTCAAAGGTAGCATGCTGCGATGTCTTTTTTGATGATCTGGGAAACAGTCTCATTGCAAAGACATGAAGTTTGATTTCAATTAGTCATTGCTATATCACTCTTAACTCTTAATATCAAAGCTCATTAATTCTTACATTTAAATTGAAAATCAGGTTCAAAGCCTGCTTCTAAGTTCACGAGCTTTTAAATTATTATTTAATTATTTTCCTCTAAACACATTTCACTCTGCGTTAGCAGTTAAATAATCTAGAGATGTAGAATTAAATTATAATGAGACAAGGGCATTTTAAACGAATCCCTTCAAGTGGACATATAAAAAAAAATAAACTAATCTACTGGCAATATTTCAGAATAAGTCCACTGTTGTTTTTAAAAGACAAATGCATAAAGCATCATTATCTGTTTCACAACATGTGGATGACATAGTGCAGTGAGTGTTGTAATATTCCTTCGGGTCTTGATACAACGTCTAATTAGTTCCAAAGTCTTTGAATATTCCCAAGTAAATTAATTTGTTTTTTTTTATGTTTTTTTATTATTATAACTTGTAAGAAGTATAAATGTTAAAGTTAACTTTTAAGGCATAATATGTATATACATTAGGAATGTTTGGAAAACATAAGTACACAGAGACCTGACAGCAACGAGTATCTCTTTAGTATCCTCTGTGTTACTATTGAACTTACTTTACACATAAAAAGGGCATATTTTTTCAATTATAGTTCGCCCTAGTTGAAGCTCTCTCACTAAAAAATAAACAATTGGTTGTCATGTAATTCTCTCTATCTTTGGCGCCCGCAGAAAACTTTCTAGGGGGGGAGGGGGGTGAAAAAATCGATTAACTTTCTAGGGGGAGGGGGGAAAGATTTTTAGTAATGTTTTAATGTAGTTTTAATTTACTGTAGCGTATTTGTATGGAGAACGAAAGGACAGGACATCAGCTTAGTTACTTTCTCTTTATTTTCTCTTTATTTAATAAATTTTTTGTCTATTTTTGTCCAAATTTTTTTATCCAATCAATCCAGTTTGCCCCCCCCCCCCCGTGCCTCTTGCCTCTTGCCCCCTCCCCCCCCCCCCCCTGCGGGCGCCCATGCTCTCTATATAATATTAAACCAATAATGTTCTCATACCTGTACTGAATAGTTACACATGAGTATCCTTAATACATCTGATATGATAATTTATATAAAAAATACGTTACTTAATTTAAGGTTCCTATATTCAATGACAGGACTTTTCAAATATAGCCTTCCTTAACGTATAATGAAAATCAATATATTGCAAAATAATAATAGGTCGGTATCTTCATTTAGAATGTAGCTCATAAAGGATAACTTTTCTTTAATTAATAGGCAAGTATCTTCATTTAGAATGTAGCACTAAAATAAGCTTTATGTATTAACAACGATTGAATGCAACAAAATAGCTTTGATGTGTCAAATAGTTTACACGTTGATCAATTTATATCAAATTGAAAAGGTTTTATTTTAATTGTCTAACTGGAAAAGGAGTAGTCGAAGTCGTCTCGTGTACAATTGATGAACATGCTATCAGGGAATCCATATAAAGATTATTAGATTACATGATTTACGATTTGCATTACGGGGTTACTTTAAGAGCTGAAACTATATGTTCTCTCTGTCACTTGTACTCGGATTGATGCAATTATCAGAGCCTGATTTTGTGTCAGGCAGCCTTACTAATTTCTATGCATCTCTTCGCCCAGAAACATAAAATAATTCCAAGAATCATCTCCAAATGAAAAATATTTTTGACGGCCCATCTGAAAGTGCTAATATTTTTTTTTTCTAAATAAAAACAATCACAAATCTCCTACCGTATCTGTGACACTTGAATCCAGTGCCCAGGTTCACTATAGGTTAAATTTAGTGCTGCACCGTCACGTTAAAAAAACTAAAAATCGATATTAGAAATACATAATTAATATAACAGTATACCAGGACGTGTGTGTTCGAGGGCAAAACAAAAAAAAATTAAAATGCAAGAGTATTCATTGTTTTCTTTTTTCTTTTCTTTTTTTTTTCGCTGTAAATTATTGCAAAGGGCATTACAATGTAATTAGTCTATGGCCTCCAGCTTAATCCAGGCATGCTTCCCCCCCCCTTGTTAATACCAGGAGTGACTAATGAGGAACATGACAGGGGCCATCTCATTAGCCACATGCAAACCCAAACTTTCAATTTAACTAATAACAAGTGTATGTGTTATTTTCATTTATGTACTTATTATTTTTAAATGGCTTTTTTAAACTGCAAATAATATATTGTACGTGTGCATTGTCATTATTTCATATTTAAAAAAAATAATAATATAGTCGAGGCCATCAACAATATCGCAGTGAACGTGAACTGGTCCTCAGTTTAAATTGTAGTTACCATTTATAAGATAACCAAACAGACATAAATTTTAAAAAAATACCAAAAAAACCAACTTAATATAATTTTCATTCCATCTGTGATCCATTTCTAAATTAAATATGAATTAGACTGATCGCTAAGTTATGTGTAAATATGTATAGATGTTTAAACTCTGTTTTTTTTTTTTTTTTTTTTCGATTTTGTAATTTGACTTAAGTAAAAAAAAGTCCAATAAACTATATTTAAACGTACTTAAAAAAAAAAAAATCACACCATCAAATTAAAACAAGGTAATGAACTTCACTGGGTGGTAGAAATCAAACAATATTGAATATTAAATCATATTTTTTAAATTATGTTTATTTAAATACGTGTCATAGATATGCATAACCAAAAAAGCAACTAAAATAATTATGTCAAAACTTTAATTTTTTAAGCAACTTTTTCGATGAATCCATTTTTAAAATTAGATTTTTTTTTTTTAAATATAATAACTAATTCAAATTATAAAAACAAAGTTTTTTTTCTGAATATTTTTTTTTTCTTGTTTGTTTGTTTGTTTGAAAATAAAACATCAAATTGTCTGTGTTATTTTGCTTTAACATTATGTAAAATTAATTTGTTAATGCCCCCTGAAGCTTGTTCATGTAAGTTGTCCAGGCTGTATATAATACACAATATTTGAATTCATTGCATTCTTGTAAGTAACAGTTAATTGCAACGTCAAAATCAACAAAATGCCTTTGATGTGTCAAATAGTTTACATGTTGATCAATTGATATCAATTTGACAAGGTTTTATTTTAATTTTCTAACTGGAAAAGGAGAAGTCGAAGAAAAAAGTAAAGAAACTATACATTCATTTCAGGTCTGTTTATTTTAATACGCATGATTTTTTTTTAAAAATGTTTACACAAAATCACATAATTAATTTATTGAACATTTTTTGAAGTTAACATTTCGACACTCAAACCACCAGGACTCACAATTACACTTTGGTAACCGCTTGGTAATCGAATACTGTCGTACTCGCTATTTAATGTCTCTTTCTTTGCCTCTGAAAGTTCATTTTCATACACTTTTAGACATCCAGTTCGACTCACATTATAATACGATACATTGTCTTGGTGCAATTTGACCTTAAACTCTTTGGGCTCAGAACTAGATTTTTTCGTTGAAACGACATTGTATGGGCTCTGGAACTTACGCTCTTGCTGACCCAGTTTCGTATAAACGTGTGGCTGCTTTAGCGAAGCGTTGGCAACGTGGGAAGAATCGCTTGCAAAACAAGGTTTGCAGTCATTTCTGTCGTCACGGCAGACATCGTAGACGACGTGTTCAGATCCGCCCTGCTCTCTTCTTATTACTTGAGCTGGGTACGAATCAGCCTTTGAATAGTATACATCATCGCTATTTGCCGGATCAAATTCAGTAGTAGGTGAGTGTGGCCTCGTCACATTGCCATGAACGATTTCATCTAAAGTCGCCGTATTAACATATTGGTTCGTGTCCTTGGTCAGTTCAGGGGAATTAGTTATTTGTTTGGTAGTTGAAATTAGGCCCACACCATCGATGTTATTGTATGAATTCGTTTTTGAAGTGTAGTTAGTGACAGATTGATCGTTCAAAATAGAGAGCTTAGGAGTCTTCGGTACGTCGTATAGAACATCTCCCATCGTTTCACTTGGCAGGTCGTTTGTTTCCTCTGTAGAGTCCGCCATGGAATAAAGTCCATTGTCAGGTTGGGAATGTTCAACGATGCTGATAGAGATTGTTGAATACATGTTTGGTCTTGTGGTACTGCTTCGGTCAACTTTATGATCAGTGAGATCATGTTTTCCTTCAGATGTGGTCTTTTCTTTTCGATAGCTTACTGTATGAACCCCTGCTGGGACGGTACGCTTTTTTCTACAGTACACAATCCAAGCTATAATAATTACTATAATTGCAATTGTGACACTAACTACAACGCCGATCACAATTGACACGGTGTTGGAATCTGCCATTATATTACATTAATTTACCATTTTGTATAATTGTATTGTTTTGGTTTTTTTTAAATATATAAATATACACTTTCACAATTTATGAACATTGAAGATACAACAGCCAAAATGTTTTGTTTTAGCTGCTAACCTCAGATTCCGCACAAAATGTCGCGTATACAAAATCAGTGTCAAGACTAAGTTAATTCATTAATATAACTCTTCTGCTAATGTTAGCCACTTATTATTTCTGTTCAATAAATTGCATTGTGTTCAAAGGATTTTTAACACTTCCAAGTTCATTTAGGCTCCATATCTTTGTTTGACATTAAACCTGAAATTTAAAAAAAAAAAATGTTTGAATAGTTAGAGGTAACGCTTTCATTTTAGCTGCTTATTTCGTCTGTCGGGGTTGAGCTACATTGAAATTATATTTGGGCAGTTATGTTGAGAACATACACGAGTGACCAACAACACTCAATGGTGCTGGGTGTTTTCCGTGGCCAGACAGGGGTAGACAGTGCTTGGGTGGGTTAGGTCAGGCTTTTAACAAATTTTTGTTTTTAAATGTATAGTTTTCTGTTATTGCAAATTTTTTAAGTGAAGCGCAGTGTGCCTAACCCAAGGCTGGAATACTGCGCTATATAAAACCACCTTAATAATACAAATAAAATGACAGTTCTGTTGAGATGGCACGTGTGCTTTGACCTCTCTGTTGAGAACTTGCTAAGAGTGATATGACAGTTCTGTTTAAGAACATGCAAGAGTGTGTTAAGGTTATGAAAATCAATGTTGCGATGTTTGAGATTAAGATAAAAATTATATTTACCCAAAATAGTGCATGCATGAGTAAACGAGTCGTGAGATTGAGGGTGATGGGCGAGATGGTATATACAGAGAGAGATGTATCATAGTCATAGAAGAGTTGTATTACATTCACCGAGAAGACTGATGTGTTCCTGAATCTTTGGGTCGTATTGTGAAGTAATAATTATCATGCGTATCCCCTGGATTTGGAGGTCAGGCTACATGACTATTAAACATGTGATTAGGTTAATACAATTGTAGTATGATGGAGTCAGTGTTGTAGTGCATTGGACATATAGGATAAGTTGCACTAGTCAGTGGAGACCATACCTGTCGTCTTACTTTAAGATTAGCTGGATAACAAACCCTAAGATTTACAGCTCGTACGTGCACGAGGGATATGACAGTTCTGTTTAGTACGTGCACGAGGGATATGACAGTTCTGTTTAGTACGTGCACGAGGGATATGACAGTTCTGTTTAGTACGTGCACGAGGGATGTGACAGTTTAGTTTAGTACGTGCACGAGGGATATGACAGTTCTGTTTAGTACGTGCAAGAGGGATATGACAGTTATGTTTAGTACGTGCACGAGGGATATGACAGTTTAGTTTAGTACGTGCACGAGGGATATGACAGTTCTGTTTAGTACGTGCACGAGGGATATGACAGTTCTGTTTAGTACGTGCACGAGGGATATGACAGTTCTGTTTAGTACGAGCACGAGGGATATGACAGTTCTGTTTAGTACGTGCACGAGGGATATGACAGTTCTGTTTAGTACGTGCACGAGGGATATGACAGCTCTGTTTAGTACGTGCACGAGGGATATGACAGCTCTGTTGAGAACATGCAAGAAAGATATGATAGTTATTGTCATAATCAAAAAACGCAATTTCAGGGTAAACTCTGTACACAAAATTAAAATGATATCCATACAATCTTTAGTATGTTTTTATTTTTAATTGATATATTCATTTTTCAAATCCTTTCATTGGCTTTGTTAAGATGTTAAATAACAGTTAAAAACATTGTCATTTTGTTTTTAAGGAGTAAGAAATTATTATTTTTATTATTATTTTTTTTTTTTTTGCTTTTCGAAAATACTCTAAAAAAAACAACACAATTTTAAACTTAGATTATTGTTATATTATTTTAAAACTTAAATAAAAAAAGTGTCTAAACATTTATTCTTCATTGAGTAGCAATGCTTTAGCTTAGTCACTGTTATAAGGAGTAGACTGCGATCAGGGTCAGTCACAGAAAGCATGAGCTTAAACCAGGTCAAATCCAAAAGAAGGAAGTCAAAAGGAAAAAAAAAGAAGAAAATTAAAAAAAATTGTTTCCCTCAGGCATCCTATAACCATACTGATGTGGTAAGAACAAACTATTATCATTACCTGTTTCCGAGAGAACACGTCACACTCATTATACAAATAATAACTGAAATGACAAATGCATATAAATATTATGCACACGAGTAATGGTTTCATTAAAGATAATTTTCATTTAGCCTTTAAAAACTCGAATCTCCTCTTACCTTTCGTGTTAGTTCGTCTACAATTTAAACAAAAACAAACAAACATCCCAATCAGTCCTAGTCTCTAGCCTCTGGTTTGGATCATTCCAAGCGAAATGTCATTCATGCAGTCTTAAGCGATAACATTTTGCAGAAAAGGAAGAGGATAGCTAAAAATAACACGGATATCACTTCCACCCTCCATTCATAGAGCACCTCCCAATCTCATTAAAGTACTTGACGATGAGATTCAACTCAAGTTATCTCAATGAAAAAAGAGAAGAAAAAAAAAGGTACTTGATGTAAAGGACAATAACAAGGAAGAGAATTACCTTTAACCTGAGGCAGCCTGCACGTTCACACTGAATACAAATATTTTTTTTTTATCTTACTGTAAACAACATCCTCAAGTCCATTGTTTCGTGTTGTTGATTTTAAACAAAAAATTTAATTGATTTTTATCTTGTAATATCAACTTCTAAATCAAACTTGACAAAAAACAATATAGATTCGAATGTTTCAAAATAATATTATTTCATCCGTCCGTGGAAATTGAACATGTGAGAAATGTTTTTTTTTGTCTATTACGTAAACAAATAAACATCATTATTTTTTAATATTTTTTTATATGTGTGGGCGAGTTTTAAAAAATTAACTTAAAAAGCTGAAACAAATCAGAACTAAATGACAACAACTTTACACTCTTAACTCTTGAGACGAGATATTGAATATATATGCCAGTAACCCACATGAAATAAGTGTGTGTTGTCCAGCACTTATCATCGGAAGAGCAATCGTAAAAAGAACATTTTAAAAAAACGTGTAAGAAATTACAACAAATTTATTTTCATTTATAAGTTAATAATTTTCAAATATCATTTAATAATTTCAAATTAAACATGATTTGTATAGATCAATTGACGAAAATTGTAAAGAATTTAATACTCGCTAATTACGATGTAATATTGGCGAGGAGAAATGTTTCATTACATTAGCTAACAGGAAGAATTAATTGTATAGTCGGTTGGAAAAGAAAGGGAGCTAATACACAGAAATTTTCATTAGCTCCAGGAACATGAATTATTGTGTTTAATTCTGTCAAAATATGAAACTAGTTTTGATAATGTAATAAACGAATTAAAATTTAAAAAAAATTTTTTTGGGGTCTTTTCTCTTTTTTTCAAAATATTTATCTTAAATTTTTTTTTTTCATTTTCTTTTTAAAAGCCTATATAAAGAAGCCAATTTATTCTATAAACAACATGTTGAAAGGATAAAAGATATATTCATAACATAATAATTGTTTCTTTTAATTTAGTATATATATTTATTTTTGTACAAGTCAAAATGTTCATACTCAATGATTATCTTAAATTATTCTAGTGAAGTTGGCTTGGTTTTACATTGGACATAGACGGTATTCTATTAAGTTTTTATCACAACTTAAGCTTCTAATGATAAGATTAACGTGCATACTTAACGTAAGATTTTTAGTTAGCAACAGACTTGCATTTAATATATTTTTAAAAAAAAATAGTTTTAAGTACAAACTACAAATGTTTGTTTTCAGCAAAATGTGCTATCATATTAAGAAACTGAAATGAAAACAAGATATATTATTGTATTATTGTATACTAGCGAACGCAACGCCTCCACAATATGTTTGTTAAATATAGGAAGAGGTGCATAAACTATAATTAGCGTATGAAATAATTCACAATAAAATGTACCCTAATTTGAATGTCACTTTAAAGAATGCATTTAAAAAATTCAGTTGTCATATTTCCAAATCTCTTCCCTTAAGTAAATTGAGAAAGTAAGAATTGTTGCCGCTGTTCTTACAAACGTAAGAGTACACATATTTACAGAATTTTTTGAATAAAAATATCATTTAAACTTGACAAAATAAATGAATTGTCTGGCGTATGAAAAAAAAAATTACGACACAATAAAGCTGTATTTTTACATACATTATTTAAAGTTTGAAAAAGAAGTGAACTACACCGTCAACAAGACTAGAGTGAATTTCAAAAATTGGAACTCCAACACATCAATTTGACTTGTGAACTTAGTGGTGACAGGAATGCATCTGGTACAATAAAAAAAGTTTGACTCTGTTGATCTTTAACAAAATGTGTAAAGATGCGTTGGTGTTGTAAATAAGCCATTTCATCAAGTTACGTTACTCATTTATGATTGAAAACATATTTTCTTTGGTCGAAACTGTTGTTTTATTCATTCGTTATAGGAGCATTCTTCAAGAATGTAATAGACCGATTGGACATTGCTTGTCTCTGGTTCCACTGAGCCACGAGCAGCATTCGTGCCATCTAACAACATGCTATATGGACTCAAGATGTTTTTGAGTGGCTGACCGAGGCTTGAGTATGTATTTGGGTTCAAGATGGCAGGATCACTATTTCCATTATATGTCATCTTATCATTTCTCTCCGATGGGTTTGCTGTGCTATATTCTGAATTTTGATGTTGATTATCAATGCAGATTGTGAAAATTTTCGATGACTTTCGATTTAATGCAACAGGGGCAAGTTCAGATTTATTTAAATCATTTCCTTTCAAATATCCTGCAATACACGAGCCTTCTTTTAAGTGTATCTGCGAGCTCGTTAGATCAGATTGATTTCCATAAAAATGCGCCTCTTTCTCCTTGATGTCCATAAAAACTGGCTGACATTCCGCCTCGTTTAAATACACGTGTGGATCGTTCTCAAGTGTTCGCGCCTGTGTATTAACATAATCTTGTTCTGTATTCTGATCATAAATGGTGTAGCCACGATTGTCATTCCCCGCTTCCATTGCGTCTGTATCAGATACATTCCTGTCATGACTAAGTCCACCAGTCGTACTGGTGCACTGGAGTTCCGTTTTGTCGTGAACAGCCTCGCGCCCGCTGTTGTCTGCTCCATCTGACGTACAACATTTACTCATCAACCTTCTTTTGCGTAATACAACAGCTGTAATGACAACGGTTAAGATACATCCCAATGTTCCGAACACTAAGCCGATAACTAAAGGTGTGTTTGTATCTGGTGATTTACTTGACTCACTTGAACTGTTAGCTTCAGTTAGGGATAAGTCGTTTTTAACGTCACGACACCTTTCAAATTCATCAGTGACATTTGGGTGATTGATTTTCCGGGCTGCAATAGTACTAACGGATGCCTGTGAACAGTGTGTGCTTATAGATGGATACTCGAATGTTGATCCTGGAGTTGTTGTTGAACTAGCCAAGTCCGTAGAACATGATCCAGTCTTTATCATTTCACCTATAAGGCTAGTGTAATTGAGCTCGGTGTATATTTGGACCCCATTGGTAAGACACTGAGAGGTCCAAGAGAGAAATTCAGGATTAACGCTCACATGTAGACAGTGTTCTTGACGTTGGTAACGTCGACATGTTAGTTCCCATGTCCTGTTGGTTTTAATCGGTAGAATCGAACACGTTCTGATATCATACGACCTGTTTTCAAAACTGTACGTTATATACTTAACAGTCGCTTCTGTCATGTTTCCATGTCTGCGTGCTACAGCCGTGCAATGGACAGTCATAGGAATACACAGGCAATGCAGAAAGCTGAAATTCATGTAATATAATTTGTTACTTTATTAGTTTTTAGTATTTTAAAAATTATGTTATTTTATGTTTTATGTTCATGCCTTGGCTTTAATCTTACTTACACATCGCATTTCGCTAAATAAATAATAGTAGAGAAAATTAAGATGGAGTCAATAATGTGACAATATTACTGTTTAAAATGCATGCATGTATTATCTTACAAAGTTTGTATAACTTATTATTATAAATGGTATTCTATTTTGTTGTAATAAATGGAAAAGTCTCTTTGTTTAATTGTAAATATTCAATCTCTGCATATGGATAAACATTGCTATTAAGACATCAATTTTTAAACTAGTTAAAGGAAAGAGTTTTTGTCAAGCGCAAACATCAGCCATCATTTATCAGAGATGTCAAGCGCAAACATCAGCCATCACTTATCAGAGATGTCAAGCGCAAACATCAGCCATCATTTATCAGAATTGTCAAGCGCAAACATCAGTCATTATTTATCAGAGATGTCAAGCGCAAACATCAGCCATCACTTATCAGAGATGTCAAGCGCAAACATCAGCCAACATTTATCAGAATTGTCAAGCGCAAACATCAGTCATTATTTATTATCAGCCATCACTTATCATAGATGTCAAGCGCAAACATCAGCCATCATTTATCAGAATTGTCAAGCGCAAACATCAGTCATTATTTATCAGAGATGTCAAGCGCAAACATCAGCCATCACTTATCAGAGTTGTCAAGCGCAAACATCAGCCATCATTTATCAGAATTGTCAAGCGCAAACATCAGTCATTATTTATCAGAGATGTCAAGCGCAAAAATTATCCATCATTTATCAGAGAGTTTCACATCATTAATGGCGTCATTTATTTCAATAGTGATTTTTAGATTGTTTAAATGAAAGATTCATCTTTTTCAATTTTATAAATACTTTCCCTACTTTAAGCATATGTTTGTTGAAAATTATTGAAACACTTTTGATAATCTGTACGAATTTTGTCACTGATAGCGTTTGCATGTTAAATCTATTTCTTATGAAAGTGAATCAAATCAAATTAAAATAATGAAGCATAGAAAACGTTACATTACGATAAGAGGACATTATAATCTCATTTTTGTTTGTTTGTAGCACATCACTGATAATATATTAAAATTTTAAAGCAAATTGTCGTTGGGGTATATATATATTTATGTATCGTCTGCGTGGAATGGGAACTCGAATGTGTTTAATCTCTATTTACAATAGACACTCACTCTTTAAACAGTTGCCAGCGAAATGTGATTTGAACGCTTCCACCATCGAAACTAAAGACTTTATGATTGTACGCTTGATTTGTCAATCCAAATGACGTCATTGACGTTGAAACAATCGCCCAGAATACCAAGCATGTCATCTCAGTTAATGAATAAAGCCAAACCTGTTGTAAAAAAAGATAATGAAGCCAATAAATGTAGTTGGGTAACAGTGTATGTTAAATAGATCAGCAGTTACTGTTATGTACCATTCCCCCCCCTGCTTTACCTCATATGTACATAGCGTCCGTTCTGAAACCTTCCCCTTACCGGTTTGATACTACCCCACACTCCAAACTCCGATTCTTAACCCACCACTCCAAAAATAAAATACCAAACCTCACAACCATCATAATATTTCTCCTGAGTTCACAGATGTACACCAATCTTTTCCAAATAAAAGTCTTTGTTAACACACGCACACAATCCATCGTGTATTAGGTATTGGTGGCTTTTTTAATTGTAAAAAAAAAAATCATTACATTTATTGTAGGTATTTAACCTCTGGTGCCTTTTTTTAATGACCACCCCCCCCCCCAACCATTAAAAAAAAAAAAAAGTAATAACTATTAATAAACGGGGAAAAGTAAGATGCTAATGAGTTTATTTACATCAATCAATTAATCTAGGACAATTTTAATTAATTTTAAGAACATTTTAAACAGAATTATACTGAGTCACATCGCAGTGAAATATCTAAAAACAACATTTTTTCATACTGAAATTCGGCTTTCTTTTACCTGATACATTATTGTTGTATTTAATTAAGTATTTGTCTACTGTCCGTTAATAATTAATTAATTATGTTTACAGGATGAGAAGGGAAGTGAAATATCATATGCTCAATTTTATAAATACATTTTTGAACGGACACAGTAAGGTGCCATGCACATTTAAACGCAACGTTTCTTTACTTTAATCCTGGTTTATTTTATTTAGTTCCTGTTGAAAGTATCCTTTTTTTTATCAGGTCTATCAGTTTTACAAAATATACGTTATGTTTAATTAGTAACAATAAAAAAAAACAACAAAAGAAAAGAACAACAAAAATAATAATTGCAACTATTGCTAGTTTACCTTTCAGACTATAAATCTGCCTTGACCGCACAAAAGTCGCTAGAGAAATGTGCACAGCTCTCATTGTAAATTTAAATTTTAATTTATTTTTTTGATCCTAGGAAGTATTATACCTTTACTAAAGAGATCAACCGCCAAAGAAAGTCCAAGGCAATATCCTTCCTATGTGTTAGCTATAGCCATTGTTTGCTCATATGTTTTAAAGTAAAGACAAGATAAGGCGAGCAGAGGTTCCAAAACTAATTATAGTTTGCTATGTCAGGTCATACTGCTTAAAGTGAAATTAATACTTATAGCTTTTATTAAATAAACACAATAATGTATTTAAATGTGTACTCTTATAAGAAAATGAAATCCATTGTTTTAATTTTTTATTCCATATGTAATCAGGGAATTATAAAACAATTTTGAGGATTTCATAGTGAAGTTCAAGGCCAGAGTATTGGGGTGAAAGCAATTTCTTTTGAAGTGTGTTCTGTGCGAAAGCAGGTGTTTCATTGTATAACTTCCTTTATTTATTGTAAATTCAGATAGGATTGAAAGAGTTTTAGTTGTTCCAAAACTATTGTACACATCTGATTTGGTAACTTTGCAATGTAAAAAGAAATAACATTAATACAATAATTGCACAAATGACTTATTTTTGCCGTGTATAAGATGTTTTATTGTATAAGAGAAATCAATAAAAAACAATGAACAAACTTCTCTGCATAGATAAAACATGTAGTTTATACAATTGACGACAAAATAAGTTTTCAAAGGCATTTCATGACATTTATTGTTTTTATTTAATTATGTGTTGATATTCTAGAAAACAAATAAAACAGGACATTGTCACCAAACCATTTCACTGCGCTTTATGTATTAACGAAATCGTTCATTTTTTTTAAAGCTTAAAATATACATTCTATTTTAATGATGGGAATTAATTTCGTAGTATATAAATTTGAATAATATTTTCATCAGATGCAAGAAACACACATCAAAGACACATGCAGACATTTACTCACAGAGAAACAGACACACAAAAAGTTGCACAAAAAAAGTAAATGCGTCCACCATCACACATTTAAAAGGCCTTCAAGACACACACCAACCATCTTATGATCAGAGTCTAAGTTCTACCTTCATTTCCTTCAGATTGCGAGGAAAGTCATAAGGAGTTACTATTCGAAAAATTATTCGTGAAGAATTTTAGACATATGTTTGTATGAATCTGTTTGATGTAATGAATCTGTTTGATATAATGAATATGTTTGATTAATGAATCTATTTGATATAATGAATCTGTTTGATGTAATGAATCTGTTTGATATAATGAATATGTTTGATGTAATGAATCTATTTGATATAATGAATCTGTTTGATGTAATGAATATGTTTGATGTATAAATCTGTTTGATGTAATGAATCTCTTTGCTGTAATTAATTTGTTTCATATAATAAATATGTTTGATGCAATGAATCTATTTGATGTAATGAATCATTTTGATGTAATGGATCTATTTGATATATTGAATATCTTTCATATCGAAAATCTGTTTGATGTAATGGATTTGTTTTATATAATGAATATGTAATGGATCTCTTTGATGTGATGAATATGTTTAATGTAATACATCTGTTTGATATAATAAATATATTTAATGTAATAAATCTGTTTAATATAATAAATCTGTTTGATGTCATGAATCTGTTTAATGTAATAAATCTGTTTGATATAATAAATCTGTTTGAGGTAATGAATCTGTTTAATGTAATAAATCTGTTTGATATAATAAATCTGTTTGATGTCATGAATCTGTTTGTTTTTTTTTTTGGGGGGGGGGGGGGGGGGGTGGTTTTTTTTATTTTTTTTTTTTTTTTTTGGGGGGTGTGTTTGGTTATTTTTTCTAATTTTTTAATCACATTTTGTTTTAAGAAACTCTAACTTTTTTATATTTCCAACTTTGCATCTAATGTTTTTACTGGTGTTTAAACGTGGCATATTTTGGGCTGAACACCGCATAGTCTACGAACCACTGGTCCATGAAAGCATGTTAGGACTATGCTTCTATTTCATCGTCTACATGTGAACTGACATTTGCATCACCCCCTGATGAGTTATGACCACCCGTGCTTTTATCAACTTGCGTAACTGAGGGCTGGTCACTTCCAGGCATATGCCCCGGTCTTGTATTGGTCGAGGGGTGACCGGCCTCTTCTCCTAATTTGATGTAATCCATCCCATTGACCAAAGTCGATACAGTTACGTAATCATTGTCCACCGGCAAAACCACAGGCGGCACCGGAACACGTGGTTTGCGTGACTGCACTCTGGTAAGGTACTTGATGCTTCCGTTTTCATTGACGGTGACGTAGTCAGAGTTGAAGCGACGATTTATGGCAGGTCTGTAGCTGCCATGGGAAGGTTTTAAAGCTTCATTTTCATTTTGCGTCACTCTGTGACCACCTCTAGGACCCGAAGTGTCAAGTCTTGCGATGTGATCTTCATCTGAGAGTTGAAAGCCTTCCTCTTTCAGGCGTATGTATTCGTCGCTTAGAGCTCGTTCACTTACGGTGATGTACTCACTGTTAACTGGACGTAGTATCGGTGTTGCCAGATGCATTCGGCTTCTCGTAGCATTGGGAACTTTTTGACGAAAGCTGTCCAAATTGTTATCATTAACAACTATATACCCGGATGTTTGGGTGGCAGTACGAGGGGCGCTCATTCGTTTAATAGGAACAGATCGGAAAGCGTACTCATTGGGAACCACAGTATAAATACTGTACCGCGTGTCATGGGGTATGACGGCGTAGTCGCTTTGAAATGAGAACCGCTCATCCAGCAATACACTTGGGATAGTGCTGTATCCGTCTTCACTGGAGTCGCGGGATATCCTGGAGTAGCCGCTGTCCCTAACACTGCTGTATACGCCCGAGCGTCTTATCCCAGACGAATACAAAGGATTGACTCTGATATTCTCATGAGAATATTTGCGAAATGCGCGGTTTCCATCCCACGCTCTGGTTTGCGTAAATTTCGGAGCATCGGGGATGTCACCAGATGAATTGCTCCTCTTACCGTAAGTTTTAACCGACGAGTAGTCTCCAGAATATTTACCAGGGATGAAATAATCGTGTCTGCTTCTGTTGTTAAAGTTGATCGGGCTCAGATTCGAATACAGCCGATTGTCGTGGAAGTTCAAATCGTTGCGCCTTTCGTCGGGAGATATCTTTCTAAAACTCTTGGCGTACGCCCCATCGTCACAACTGGAGTCCAAGCTTTTCCTTGAGGGCTTTCTGATTCTTCGCCGACGTTGCATGAATAATATGACGCCTATGACAATGGCGAGTAAAGCGACGGATATTGTAGTGCCGACGATGATAGGCGTTGTATTGTCATTGCTGGAGGATGGGGAGACCGTATTCACATGCTCAGTTGTTGACGACATTTGAAACCTGTTGGAAGTAATGAGTGGCAGGCAATGTATCATTTGAATATATCAACAGATGTTTTAAGTGGATTTTGTTTAAAACAGTCTGATTTTTTAAAGTCAGTTTACTCAATGTGAGAGTTAAAGTTTATTGATTGTTTATATTATTTAAAAAAAAACATATTTTATTTTAAGATGACAATGAAGTGTAAACTCGTCACTTTTGTGTTGTTATTTTACTCACTAGTTGAAGAAAATAATTTATCTATGTAAAAATGAAAGCATTTTGAGTTTAAATTATCGGATGAGACGTATCACAGTACAATAATTTGTAGGAATTAGACGATGGCAGATCTTCATTTGTATGATTTTTTTTTTAGTTATTTAAATTCGATTGTTTCATAATTATTTGCTTATAAATTCAATAACACTACTTTAGTACAAAAATACAAAATAATTGATAAAAAATTATACATATATAAATTTAAATATATATATTCAAAAGAAGCATATCTATTTCTTTTGTTATAAAATATATAATACATATTAAAAAAAAAATAACTTACCTAATAAAAATTGTTCAATCTCTCATGCAGTCATCACATTAAACACATCAACTATGAACGTTTAAGACAGTCAAGCACAAGCCAACATGACGAGCCTTTGATTTGAGCGGGAAGTTAATTGAACAAATTTCATGGAAAAATAAATAATGCTGTGCCACGTCACTAGATTTTATCACTATTTTGTTGCTGTTTTTTTTTTTTCAGAATTAAAATTGGGACACATGCGTCGTTAATAATTAAAAATTAAGGACACATAATGTGATAACGAAAATAGCATGCATTTGACATAATCTTTGTGTACTAAATAAAGGGATCCAACTAAAATCGTTGGCACAGTTTCATGTTTTTCTAGGGCATTATGATTATGTTATACATCATAATCTATACATATAGTAATGTACATCACTGATTGTTCTCAATAGGGCTGGATTGTGGAAAACTTTTCTTGTTGCATACGATTTAATTTTAACGATTCTAGGATCGAAACAGAAGCTGAGACTTTTCCAAACTTTTATTTCATTAGAAAAAAAATAATAATTTTATATGTATAAACACATTGTTTTATGACTCACCCAAATTAAAAGAACTGTGATGCGATATGTTTAAAGATGTGTGATGTGTCTTTTTAAAAGATGTATGTTGCGACGAATTGAAGGATGTGTGATGCGATGTATTGCAATAATTATGATGATTTGTTAAAATGAAAAATGTGTGATGCGACCAATGGAAAGATGTGTGATGCAACATTTTGATAGATGTGTGATGCGACACGTTGAAATATGTGTGATGAGAAATGCTGAAAGATATGTCATGCGACATGTTAAAAGATATGCAATGCGACATATTGAAAGATGTGTGATGCCACAAATTGAAAGAGACATGATTCGAAATACATTATGGACTGTAAAGATTCGCTAACATCACTCGTAAAACAACTTTATTGCAACAATTACATTTCAACACAGCATTCATAAAATTAATGGCATGTTAAGTTCACGTAGATCGTCCTTTAATTTATTCCCTGCCCCACATTCATTCGCTTTATTTGATGTAAATGATTTGATTTTAAATGATCTTTTAAAATAATATATAAAAATATTATACCAATGTAGTTATTGTAACAATTGATTCTCTAATTATCGTAAATTAGTATGCCCATTACTTCCGCTACCCTACTCCAAATACACCACATGTTATTGTACTTTTTAAAGACAATAGCATTTTTTTTTCAGTAATATTCCTTTTCAGGTCAATTCTCACACGCGAACAACTGAATTTGGTTATTTCCTAACGTTAAATGCCCAATATTTACCATCTCCCTCTCATGGATTCGTGAGAATCTGAATGTGCCCTCACCAACACCTTTCCCACTCTTCCTAACCTGGAGTGGCCCAAACATTTGTGTATAACTTATTCATAATTGTTTCATTAAAACATAATAATATTTTACATTCACCAAACATTCTCTACTCCCAGGCTCCATTTCAGTTTATTAGACACAATTTAGCGAAAATTCTCCTTTCACCTTTTGATAAAATTTCCTCTTGGTCTCCATTACAAAATATGTTGTTATGATGTAAGAATCGTACAATTATTTTTCTGCACATAACAGAATTTTCGATAACAGGCATATTTATTAAATTTAAAGTTAAAACAAAACAAAATATTTAAGTTAATTGTGTATGGTATGCATGCATATGAAGAACTTTATTTAAATAGTTCATAACTCATTTTTGAAAATGAGCTCAAAGATATTACAGTTACTGGACTTGACCATCTCTAGTGGTTTATGGTTTTACATGTATCTTGCCTATTATAAAGAAAGGTCACATACGATCTTTAAATAATTCGCGTAAACCTAATTAAATCTGCCACAAAGAATCTAAGCAGACAAAATACATATTAGCAAATATCTATTTTTTAAATATTTTTTAAAAATGTATTCTTCCCCTCAAAATAGAACAATTGTGTTAACATTTAGGAATGAATTTCCAATCCTTCAAAATAGTTATTTTTTATGCCCATGGAATATTTTTAAAAAAGAAAAATATCACTAAGGACTATGTATAGAAATTATATAAATGTAGTTTATGTAAATTTTGGAGAGATCTGGAGAGAGAGAGAGAGAGAGAGAGAGAGAAAGAGAGAGAGAGAAATTGAGAGAGTGTAAAAAAGGGGCTTAACTCATATTGTTTTATCAATACCTATATTTGGTTTAGGGTTCTTGGTGTAAAAGCATTCTGTGAAAACCCATGTTTACAATTTTAACCATGTTTAACAGAAATATATAATAATCTCTTCTTTTTTTTTTTTTGTTTCATTTAATGAAGTTTTAATGTATTATACCAACAATATGTGACTTAATTTTTACAAATTTATTTTGTTTTAATTTCTTTTATCTCTTAATGGTGTAAAAGCATTCTGTGAAAACCCATGTTTACAATTTTAACCATGTTTAACAGAAATATATAATAATCTCTTCTTTTTTTTTTTTGTTGCATTTAATGAAGTTTTAATGTATTATACCAACAATATGTGACTCAATTTTTACAAATTTATTTTGTTTTAATTTCTTATATCTCTTAATCTATAACCAAATATTTGAAAATAAAGATCTGAATATGAAATTAAAGCAGGAAAACTTAAGTTGTTCGTGAAATTAAAGACAAAAGCCGTCTTTTTTTTTTATTTGAAAAAAATAAATAAATAAAAAATCCAGCGTGTCCTCCGAAATGAAAAAATGCAGGCCTTGTGATTTCGTCGTGGGAAGTCTACACCATGGTAACAGTGTTACAGAGGAGGGAAAAGAAAATGTTTATTAACTTCGAAATAACAAAATAGAAACAATTCGCATCTGATAATTTATGGTCCTTGCGCAAGGCTTGTGTAGTAAGTAAACAATTGTCAAAAAGGAAAAAAAAATCATTCCAAATGAGATTGATTTGAAAATTATTGAAGTGATGAACAATTTTAAAATGAACTGAACAAATTATAAAGTTAATTAATGACGAAGCGTGTTTTTAAAATAAACTTTATTATTATTAATTTGACGTAACACAATTAGATATTAGAAATGTATGCTCGACAATAATTTGGCTTTAAAAAAATTTAAAAAACTAAATATTTATCACTATTAAAGATACGACACCCAAAACAGTTGCCAATTACAATTAATTAAGATTTATTAAGTATCAATACAATAACAAAACAAAAGAAATATAATTATAAATCATCAACTTACAGTATGGTAGATCTTGTACCGGTACACAGTTAATACAATGTGCAAATTAATAATGATGAATGCAAAATAAACACATATATAAGAATACAAAGAATAATAAACGTCACGTAAAGTTAATAAATTCTAACTAAATCTCCGTCTCCCCGTACGTGCCTGTCAATCCCTTATATAGGTCGCGTAAGCTCTGCCTTCCAGAAAAGACTTATGACGTGTTGTTTACATTTCTCGGGTTATCGAGCACATTTAGTATAATATAGTGTCTTTAAATATTTTAAGAAAACTTAAAATGCTTCTACGTTGCATAAAAAAACACATTTGGTTTTGGTTTTCAGATTATTCAAAAAAGGATGTGATGCGATGGAGATCTCCTGAAACTAAATAGTTCATTTCCTAGCTTTACAATAAACATGGTAGAAAGTATATGTAGTTTTACATGCTGATATTATTATATATATAAACACATAAATTATAATTAGATTTGTATAAGGTACCTTATAAATATCATTTTAATGTTGGTATTGGGCTAACATACATACTGAATCGACACTCATCTAATACTGTATCATACTTTATTTATATATTTTATAATAATCATGTTGTTTTTTTTCCTACAATGCATGTGATGAAAAACCTAAATAAGGTGAAGTTATGTTAAAATTGTGTTGCATTTTTCGATCACATGAGTTCCTTTTTAAAAAATGCCAATAGCATGTTAGCAAAACAGTATATAAAATAAGGATATGACTATTTCACAAAACTTTAAAAACTTATCTTGTAACATTGTTTTTGATAAAAGATAAATGAGTAGAGTTATTTTTTAAACAAATATTACGGTAATGAGCTTCCTAAGCGCATAATTTGTTAAGCCCTCGAATACATTAACCTATGAAATATGCATGAATCAAACTGAATTTTTATATCAATTTCTGTTAGAAGTTAACTATGTTTTTATTTCTTCATTTTCATTATATTTTTTTAAATTTATTGAAACGTTTTTTAAGGAGTTTGCCTCAAGGATTTGTTAACCTCGGCATACACATCTTCAGATGCACAGTTCACTGGACCATCAATGTCCCCTATGTTTTTATTACATATACTTTCCTTATTCTCATCATCGCCCGAGTTTTGTCCAAGAGATTTGAGCACCTCATTGCCACTAATTCTTACTGGCAATACACTATACGTGTCTGAAAATGATCTGATGTTTTCACCGAGTTTAGAATAGGTGCTATTATATAACTTGTCTTTAGCTGCCTCGTTATTAGATACATGACCAACATTGTATTTAGCTGTCTCGTTATTAGATACATGACCAACATTGTTCACATTATTCTTTCTTTTGTTCCGGATGTCCTGTATGCCAAACACTGGATTGGAGAACACACGTGGTGGATGCCGGCTATGGTTTTGATTTTCGTTTGATGCATCATCATTTGTTACAGTAATGTTAGCACTATCCACGTCAATACCAGAATAAGGCACGTTGTCAGCGTTGAGATTATGAATGTCCAATATTTGAGTCCAATCTTTTCTTTTATTCAGCCCCTCTGCGTCTTCAGCTTTGGTTAGAACTGTAGTTTTAGTCTTCTTGCCGCGTCCATCAATAGTTTGATGCTGCAGTTGATTACGTAAATTGTTTTCCTTTGCAAAATCCTGATTGTTTTCCGCCTGTTCGGACTTTCTTTTCTGAGCTCTTTGTCGCCTCTTTCTTATACACACTACAAGGACGATGATGATGATGATCATCATAATGAGACCTAGCCCGCCACCAATACTAGCACCAAGTATTACAGGTAAGTAATCATCATGTGAAGTATCTTTAACACTGCCTAAAGACGATGATACAAAATCAGTTGAAAGGAATGTTGACTTCGAGATAACAGTTGAAACTGTAGACTCCTTTGAGAGAGCTGTCGATGCTGATATTAATGTTACTTTTGTGGAATAGGTTGGCGGAAATGTTGATTCTGGTTTCGAGGTTGATGTTTGATAAAATTTTGAATTTTCACACACCGCATTATTGTGTTTTAAAGGTTGTGTTTGATTTATAAACACAATATCTTCAATGGGAGAAGATGGACACATTGAAACACATTTTTCTGAGCATGTTAATGAAATGTCTGCATCAAGAAAAATCCAGGCTATCTTATTAATGTCACAAACTTGCATATCTTTTATTCTTACGCAGCTAAATATTGATGACATGGACGTGCAAGAATATTCCTTTTGATAATTGGCAGGATCCTGGATCTTTTCCTCCACGAATGTTTTACTGCTGTTACTATCAACAGATCCAGAAATGGAATTATAGTTTATTGAATATTCATATGTTTGGTTGTCACACATCACTGAATACAGCCTAAAATAAAAAGTTAAATTAAAAATGCTATAGATTGTTGTTATTGCTTTTTTTTTTATATAATGACACTAAAAATAAAATTAATTCATGTATATGTTATTTATATATTTATATATGTATTCAAAATTAATTATTGAAATTGATTGTTTTAACGATAACTCAATGAGAACTTTTACGCGAGCATTCCTCAGAAATGTGTTAGAGATTATATTAATATTTAAATACAATCTTACCATAAAAAATGTTGTTCAGTAACGTTGATGAATCGAGTATAAATATTGCCAGATTCGTTGAACGGCAAAAGAATGTCAACGTATTCACTTTTAACAACATATTTACTAATTAAATGTATGTAGAGTGCAGAGGTTATTAAAGTAACTTTGACGTACATCACTAAATGTCAATACCAAACAATTATTTTTATCAGTAAAATGCTTTTTAGAACGAGCACCGAGGAGCTTTTGTGTTCTCTCTGACACAATTTATTCGTTTTATTTTGTGCGAATTCTTGGAAAATATCCTTAACTGCCGCAGAATGTTAATAGAACGAAATTAACCCTGGTACATAAGAATGTTGTTAATTTAGTTACACAAATTGTAACACATGACATATAACACATGATTTAATAAGAGGAAGTAAATTGAAAAGAAAACCGACATCAAATGCAAGAATAACGTTTGATCGGATCAAACCCGTCAAACAAGTCTTTCTTTAGAATGCTGGTTACATGCGTGACACACTGGCCTGTATGTAGGCATACGCCTTACGTTGTTTTATCTGTAAAAACATTAGTACAACTATTTTACCCAAATTATTGTTATATCCAATATTTTTACACGAATTAATCAGGGTGATTGAACATTATTTGTATCTGTAACCAAGAAATCATTCAATTTAATTTTTTTGAAAAAAAAAACTCGGGTAGAATAATATTTGTTATTATTAAAGTCTATCGGTTTTCTATAGGGTTTAACTGGATTGCGTGTTTTTTTCTTCTCAAAGCTCTGCAATTGCTAGCACCAACTAACCTCACTAAAATAAAATAAAGTAAACATAAAAATTGGAATCCTTGTGTAAATTGTGTTCCTTTGTGTGCGCCCTGTGTGTTTACACGATGACACAAATAACGTAGCACGGTTAGATTTGTCGTAACTATTTCCTGGAATGAGCGGCTTTTTTATGGTGGCGATCAGGGGCTACTTCACGTGTTTCTGTGCAAAATTCGAATGTTTAAGAGTAAGAGGTTAGCTCGCCTGATTCCTCATCCAATTTTTATAACCAAGCTTTTTTTTTGCTCCACCTACTCGAAATAAGAGGTCAATTTAAATGTATTAGTTATTATAAGCGTACAGTACCGGCGCTTTTGGATCATAAAATAATTTACAGAGCGAAATAGAGGTGAATATCAATCGAGGGCCTATTACACGTTTATGCGCTTTTAGGCTTATCATTAGAACCTTAGTCTTTGCATCAGAGTACTTGTCATTAAAATCCAAAGAGTGTCAATTTCCAACTGGCCTCCATCCTTTTGATAAAAACAGGGGTCTCATTTAGCATGTTCTTGTATTTGTATCGTTCCTTCCCAGCATTATACATAACTGAATTACGTTAAGAGTTTCGGTTCATAGAAATTAGCGTTTTTGAGCCATGTCTGCAAAGATTTGTATAGATCCAAAACATTTCTAATCATAGTATAAAAGTGAAAAGCCTTCTGGAACTATCAAAATATATATTAAAAAAATAATACGGGCTTCAAAATTCATATATGAGAAACAAAAACTCCATTATATAAATGATAAGTCTCAACCGCTGCCCTGGACGATATCCCAGACTTGCCGGTCATGGAGGAGCTTGATACCCTACCAACAATAGAAGAGCTACGTAGCGCCATCGATTGTCTCGCCAGTGGGAAAGCCCCGGCAATGATGGTATCCCACAAGAAGCTCTCAAATGTGGAAAAGGAGTACTATTACGGCCCTTACACCATCTCCTTACTCTGTGCTGGGAACAGGGACAGCTACCACAAGAGTTGAAAGATGCAAACATCGTAACATTGTACAAAAATAAAGGAGACAAGAGTGACTGCAAAAAATATCATGGAATCTCCCTCCTCAGCATAGTTGGAAAGTCTTTCGCCTGAGTTGCATTAAAACGCCTACAGACCCTAGCATCGCGTGTACTCCCAGAATCGCGATGTAGTTTTCGCGCCGGTAGGTCAACCATAGAGATGATCTTCTCTCTGCGCCAGCTGCAGGAGAAGTGCAGGGAGCAACATATGCCTCTATACATTGCGTTTGTCGACCTCACTACGGCTTTTGATCTTGTTTGCAGAAGCGGCCTGTTTCAGATCCTCAAAAATATATGCTGCCCTACACGACTGCTTAACATCATCAAGCAGTTCCACGAAAACATGCAGGGCACAGTGTGCTATAACGGTGCCGCCTCAGAAGCTTTTCCAGTGAGTAGTGGAGTAAAGCAAGGTTGCGTGCTGGCTCCTCTTTGTTTGCAATCTTTTTCTTCATCCTACTCCTATATGCCTTTTTAAACAACAGCTTTAGAGCTAAGATTAAAACAAGAAAGGTCTAGCTGCAGGAGATCTTGTTTGCGGACGATGCCGCTTTGGTATCTCACACAGCAGACGGCCTGCAGACCCTCGTAAAGAGCCTATCCGCTGCCAGCAAAGAGTTTGGCCTGACAATTAGCCTAAATAAAACTAACATTATGGCACAGGGCGCTGACTCCCTCCCCACTATCGCCATCGGCGACTACGACTTGGATACTGTTGACACATTCACATATCTGGGATCCAACATATCGAGCACCCTCTCAATAGAAGATGAGATAAGTGGGAGGATAGGGAAGGCCGCAACTGTTATGGCCAGACTGAAGAAAAGAGTCTGGTCAAACGCAAAACTCATAACAAGAACTAAGCTGCAGGTGTACCAGGCCAGCGTGCTGAGCACACTTCTGTATGGATGCGAGTCGTGGACCACATACTCTAAACACGAAAGAAGTCTCAATGGCTTCCACCTCAGATGCCTGCGCCACATCCTTGACATTAAATGGCAAGACAAAGTCCCCAACACGGATGTCCTGTCCCAAACAAACATGTGTAGTGTCCCAGCCATGTTAATCCAAAGACGCTTCCGCTTGCTTGCACACGTCAAGCGAATGCAACCTGGTCGCATACCAAAGGACGGGCTATACAGCGCGCTGGCGATAGGGAATAGGTCAGTTGGACGGCCTCGTCTGAGATACTTAGAAATATGCAAAAGAGACATGAAGTCGGCCAACATCGACATCTCAAACTGGGAGAAGCTGGCAGAGGATCGATCCTCATGGTGGTGCATCGTGAAAGCAGCATCACTACATGCCGAGGATCAGCTGCAAAAAGAGCGAGGGGGAAGGCCGGTAAATACTGCTCCACGGCATTCGTATGTGGGAAATGTAACAGACACTGCCATTCGAGGATTGGTCTCACCAGCCACACCAAGAGCTGCAAGTAATAAAGATAATCTATCGTCTCCCGCAGATGGAAAGATGCGTTACCATAGAAGGTTGCATCGAACAGCTTATTCAATCAAATACCGGTTAATGATTGATCGGTCTAAGATAATTAACCGATTACGATTAAATAATATATGATTAACTGTGAAATTGCAATTTATAATGCAATTGTACATTTGAGGTCATTCATAATGATTCATACATTATTATTATAGAAGATTAGCCCTTTAGGACACGGTGTGTAAAGCTAAGCCATAATCGCGGTGTTGAAAAATAGAAGTGATCATTACTCAAATCAAACATAAATGTGAACCTTGTTATTAAATTGGGAAGTGTTACAGATTATAGTAACCTTTATCAAACATCGTTCAAACCTGTGGCTTTAACATTTAGCGGAATTGAAATATTCTTTTTCTTATGTATGCCTGAAGACCCTTTTTAGGCTTTGTCTAATTAAAGTGGTGTAGTGGTGTTATTTTTTTTTAGGAACGCAGGTTAAAAAAAATGTTAGGACACAGTTTACGCCTATGTTGCTGATAAATGCACATTTTATATAATGTAAACTCTTAGCTGAATGGCTATAATATGTACATTTCTTTAAAGTTAATCTAAACTAGTGGTTCTCAGAGTGAGTGGGAAATATCCAAGGGTTGCAATAGTTTGCTCAGTAGCTTAGGCGGTAGTGACTTGGAATATGTAAGAGGGTGGCTGTTATGTAGTACACTTTGCCCCGTTGTTGAACTTTATTTCACCCCACATTAGATTCCTAGCAGACGGTAGCATTTGTTTTGGGCGTGGCTTAGTCTTTGATGTATCGTGTTTACTACCGGCTACCAATTAAACATGGTTAGTATGTCTATTTGTATGTTGGGGAATGATCGCGATTTGTTCTAGAAACGTAAACAAATGCTGAGTAGTTTCTGGAAGGCAGGGCTTACGCTGCATATATAAAGGATTGACAGACAAGGAGTCAGAGAGAGACGGAGATTCAGATAGATGTTATTAACTTTACGAGACTATTGTATTAGTCTTTGTGTGCTCATATGTTTTTATTTGCATTGATGATTCATCATTATTAATTGGCACTTTGTACTAACAACTGTGTACCGGTACAAGATTTTCACATAATCTGTGCGTTGATGATTTGTAATTATATTTCTTTTGTTTTGTAATTGTATTATTACTAAATTAAATCTTAATAATTGTAATTGGCAACTGTTTTTGGGTGACGTAACTTTATTATTGTTTTTTCTTAGGTATCGTCCTTTGTTGTTCACTGTGTGAACGAGCCGTAACTTAAAACAAGAGATTAATTTCTCACAATAAAAGCCAGTGCGTAACAGTGGTGTTGGAATATATTACAGATCTTTTCCCCCAATTATTATTACGTCAAAAGTCCAGCATATTTTAAACTCCGAATTAATAATTATGTAACAAAGCATTTAAATTTTAGGTAAGGAATATTATTACACGCTCTTTAAAATAATTAATCGGTTAAATTAAACAGAAATAAGTAACATTTAAATTTCATTTTTTTCAGGTAATAGTTTAATCAGAACTTTTAAGTTTTAAGAATTACTTTCACCAAGATGAATTCTTGATAATGTACTTTTTAGAAATACAATTATTTATTCTATTAACATTTTATTATGGTTAATGAATCTAAATTATGATGAAAATAAATATATTTATCTAAATGAAGTTACGTATACAATTGTACTAGCAGCGGCGCCACCTTCGCGTTATTTACTCTTGAGGATTGGCGAGTTGGCAGAATAAGAATCTGTCAAGTGGACAGAATAAGAAATTATTAGGGAAGTCTGAAAAAGTCAACATTCACACATATATCACTTTTGTAAGTGCAGGAAAGTGTGTTGTCATATCCTTTACGATTTACTTTATCTTCTGAACCACACAATCGCCACCGAAACACATCTATCAAACACATGTAACACCACCCATCACACTTACTGACGTCTCACACTTATACTTATGACAAACAACATTGCATTACAACAAATAAAGATGTGTTTATTTATTCATGAATACTTAAGTGAAAATTAACTTTTTATTTTCTTTTAAATTGTTTCTCATATATATTTTGACCTATGAAGTTTTCCCTAAAGATAACATCCAAAAATAATATACATATTACATGGCTAAATTAAATTATATTTTTTTTCGAAAAATCAACTGTTATTAAAACTCCAAACATTTTAACCTTTGCTTTTATGCATTGAAGTCTTGAATCGGATTTTTAAAAAAAAAATTAATAAAAGAATACTACACTCATTTTAATGGATTGTGTATTTAAACAAATTATCCTGAAAAAAGGTTTTACTGACAAAAAATTTAAACTTTGTTTATGGTAAAATAGCAACTTGATTGTTTTCAAAGTATGTTTTATTATGTGTTTCGTTTAAAAGGGTTCTCTCACTATTAAACAAAGCACTTCTTTCAATTAGTAATTTGAGAACCACTGGAGAAGGGAATATCATATGTAAATATTGTTGCTGATAAAGACGTAAGTATTCCATAATTTAACTCAAGTCATAAATCTTCTCATCTACATAAAGTAGCTTTTTCTAATGATCTTTATTTATGATGACCCTGTAGCGATATTGAGTAACCAATTTATTTCTTGGATAAACAATCAAAGATATCGTGAACTAAACATGTCCCTATTCTTGGCTAACTATATTAAGGCAATCACTAAAATGTTAACTATGAGGTCAATAATTAAGAGAGTACTCCCGGTAATATTTCTTTTTATAATTCTCACGATGCCACACAGGTCAGCTGTTGAGATGTTATCATAGTCAACTTACCAGCTCCGTCTTTATACCTTGATCGACAACACACCATTAAAATTTTCTGGCCGGGTGTCTCACGTGCCGTGAACCGTAACGCAACTAAACAAAAACTAAATGTGTCATGGGCTAGCGTAGTGAAATGGTACCACCAATATTTCACACGTTTAATTCTATTCCACAGTCTGCAGAACATGACAACAGAATCCGCTGTGTTAGCCGTGCATCTGTTGGCTCAACAAAGGCATGGCGTATTACTGGCTGTTTTTATAATTTCACCCATACAAGGTCATTGAATAATTATTACAAGTTCATATCATTTCATGAATTAACACGTAAAATTACGAAGAAATATGATAAGTTTGAGCAAAGAATTTTAGGATGCTATTTCTTGAGATCAATAACTCATAGTACGTTTCATAATATATTTTCCTAACATAATATGTCAAATATATTGAAATTAATTTTTTTTTAAATCAACAAAATACTATAAGTATGAATTAGCAACATCTGGGGGTTTTGTTTATATTACTTGAGCATAAACGTCACTGAGTCCTTCAATTGCAATTACATTGTCTGGTCCAGGTGAAATGTCTAAATTATGTAGCATATCGTGCCTAAGGTTTGTTTCGACATTTCCATGTTCAGAATCCGTTTCCTTTAAATTAAAATCACTGTTTAATGTTTCGTTATAGGGGTTCTCAAACTCTCTAACACTTTCTCCGAGCCTTGCGTATATATTCCTCAGGGGTTTATCGCTCCAACCTACTAGTTCATATCCAGTGTCAATCTCATTTGAGTGCAAAAAGCTTGTGGTTGAAGTCTTGTCATTTGGCTGGTTATCTAATTTTGGGACGCTGACCTCAAAATCGCCAGTGTCCTTATCATATGCAATAAATGAATAGGCTGGGTTATTTTTATTGTTTACGTCAGAGTGTACCTGGTCAACTTGGTCGGTCTCTAAATAAATGGGCTTATTAAGAGACACATTTTTATGATTAGTTTGCGTACTGTCATTGCCAGCTGCCTTGAAATCACCCATAACGTCAAATTCAATGCCAGAAATTTTAGACGGTTCTCTGCCATTGTGAATAGAATTATCACGTATTTTCTCATCGGATATATCATACACAATACGTGTATCTCCAACGTAGTGATCACTTTCAGTTGTCCTGTGAGGATTATTGCTTTTCTTCGTAGTCCTCCTCTTCACACAAGCAACGATCACAACGAAAATGACTATGATTAGAACACCCCCACCGGTACAAATGCCCGCGATCAATGGGATGAAGTCTTTGATATTTTTGTTCGATTCGTCGTTTATATAGATGGTGGAGTTATCTAGAATTGGTTGAGTTGACCGAGTTGTCATATGAGATGTAGCGACGACGACAATTGTAGATGTTTGCGTTTCGGATATGGTGTATGCAGCTGTTGGTAGTGCTGCATTTGTAGTACATCCTGGTCTCGGGCAAGCATATTCAGGAACTGTTGTTATATTTTCTTGATACCGAACACTGACAGTTTCATTGATGCCAGTTAAATATATCCCGACACATCGTTTAATAACTTTGTCGTTTGAATTGTAAAAAACAAACCACGATGTATTATTCTCACATGAACTATTTTTCTCCATCCGATTGCATTCAAAAATAGTTGAATTAACTTCACCACACTCAAATGACTCCCCATAATCAGTGATGTTAAGAGATGAGCAAGTTGTGCTGGGCACGTTTAAATTGCTTCCTCCAAATGCGTAACTAAACTGGCAAACTGGTAACTGAGATTCAACTAATTTCGAAAAAAATCTGTGGCAATAAATAAAAAGTGAGTTATTAATTATTAAAATTAAAAAAAAGCATAGCAACATTTTGTATTGTGTCATCAAATTTTCTTAATAAATTACACGAATTATATGTGCTTTAATATTTTTCTAAGTGATTTTTGTTTGTTTGAGTAAATGTATATTGGTGTAAAACATATGATTTGTAAACAAGCTTACCCTGTATAGCTATCGCTTGTAAAATTGATCAAACCTGTAAAGTTATCACTTTGTAATGTTAAATCCACTGTTCCACCATTTACAATTATTATTTGAAGAAGTACAGATAAAAATAACAGCACCATGTCTGTAGACTTCTGATTGCCATATGTCCTTGTATCTGATTGGTTAAATATATATTATTAGTACGTATTAGTGTCATATAAAGTATCTAAGAGTATTTAACATATTTTTACAAATCTTTGTTTCTCAGGGTAATAAATTTGAGTATCATTTCTTCTTTTTAAATAAAAATCAAGCAAACAACAAACCAATAAAACATAGTCAAGTGATTAAAAAGTATACTCTAATAAATGTAATATTACATATTGAAAAATATATGAATCTTTTATGTATAAAAGAAAATCAATTCAATTGTTCACGAAATCATTTTTCAGAGTTCCATTAAAACTATCAAATAGTTACAATGATAACAATCCTAGATATATAAATCAAACGTTTTAATATATAACATTATATAAGGGACCAACGGACTTCTAAATGTTTGAACCCACAAAATTAAATTCTAATCATTAAAAATATTATACCTTACTTTCTGAGATTATGAAATTATTGCATGTCATCCAACTATTATAAAAATAATGTTTTTGTCACTGCTATAAAAGTAAATCTAGCCAACATGGGCGCCCGCAGAAAACTTTCTAGTGGGGGGGGGGGCAAAAGAATCAATTAATTTTCCAGGGGGGGGGGAGCAAAAAATGTATAGCAATGTTTTAATGTAGTTTTAATTTACTGTAGCGTATTTGTATGGTGAACGAACGGACAGGACATCAGCTTAGTTACTTTCTCTTTATTTTCTCTTTATTTAATACATTTTTTGTCTATTTTTGTCTAAATTCTTTTTATCCAATCAATCCAGGGGGGGGGCAAGTGCCCCCCCCCTTGCCCCCCCTGCGGGTGCCCATGCTAGCCAAGTACAACGATCGCTGCAAGTAGCAAACACAAATAAACTTAAAAGTTAGATAATTATTTAAATTGGGTATGACATGTAATACATTATTTATTTTGAAAGATAATTTCGTATGTTCAAGTTACACATTTTTTAAATTATTTATTTAAAAGTATAACCTACCTGACTCTGACATGCAAATCTAATCATAACAGGAAGTTAAGCCATGCCAAGCGTTGACATGATAAAACGCACAGGAAGACCAGTTCGGGTAGCCACGGTACGTTGAATCGAAGGCTAAGACATATAAAAAAAGTAGCGGACGAAAAAGTAAGGCAGTCAAGAGCTTTTAAACTGCTTGTTAAAAGAATATTTTATACATTATCATAAATCAGTGGCATAGCTGGGGAGGGTGTGCGTGGGGATGTGGACCGAACCGGGTGGCACCATCTCAAGGGTGACACCAAATTTAAAACCTGCATATTTATAGAGCACACAATGCACGTTCTAACTGAATTTCATAAAAGGATAAGCAACACACTAAAATTGTCCACACACATGTAACAGTCCAAATTAGTGCTTTATTAAAATGCTGCGACAATTCATACCCGGGTACCAGAAGTGAGAGGTTGGGATTAAAAAAATAAACTATTTAAAATTTTATTGTTGGGTTTTGTAACACAAAATGAGGTATCAAATAAAAGATAATTGAATGGACTATATGTTTGTAAACTAACTTTTTCAGTTTAACTAAAATAAACTATCACAAATGACATCCGAATAATTTGAGTCTAATGGTACCCGGGTGTGAATGGTGGCGTTGGGTGACTGGGTCCATTTTGACTACAGGCTATTCGGATGTCATTGGTGTTAGTTTATTTTAGTTAAAATGAAGAATTAAGTTTATAAACATATAGTCCATTCAATTATATTTTATTTGATACCTCATTTTGTCTTACAAACCCAACAATAAATTTTTTTAAAGTTTTTTAATCCCAACCTCTCAATTCTGGTACCCGGGTACGAATAGCCAATTCGTTATTAAAATTTCAAGGTTGATACGTCAGAGATGAGGAGACCCTATAATGAGGTCAGAAAAATGTAGTTTTGGTCATGATTCAATGCCGACACAAGTGTTCGGTAACTGTCGTAGAAATATAATGCCATATTTATCTAGATTCTGAGAAATAAAGCTTCCCATACGATGTGGTCGGGTGATTCTAAGTGCATGTAACTGTTCTTATATACATTACCTCCTGGCCTTCAATTAATATTGACGTTCGTTCTTGCCATTGTGATACTGTGGACTTCTTTTAAGAAGAACAAATCCATCGAGAAGTTCGAGGGGAAGTGTGACACCATGAGGTTACGGCATCGGGTGACACCAACCCTAGCTACGCCACTGTCGTAAGTTAAACACGATTCACTATCGTATATAAATGTATTTGACTTAGGTGACTTAAGCTTCCTTATAACATACATGGTGTGAGACGTTAGATTTTGATATGGCTTAAAAAATGATTTAAAATGGGATATTATTAAAATCATCACTGTTGGTGTTAAAGAATAAAATTATACCATATCAAAACGACTAATTAATGAACTTTTTAAAAAAATGATTAATATATATTATATAGTCAAGGAGATCCCAATTTGTGGGTCTGAATACCCATGGAGATTGCGAAAGATCATTATAGAATCATCAGATAATTTTCATGAGCAAATTTTTTAAAGAAATCTTTAAAAAAAAACGGGAAAACGTAATGGAGATATAATAAAAAAACTGATAGTGCACTTGGCATTTTCGTTTTGGTGTTTGAAATAAATAAAGATTTTTTTTTTCGGAAAGGTGTGTGACCTTAAGACACAGGTGATTCACCTTATTCAACCTGTCCCTGAGGCCTGAGTGCTCTTGCTGGTCATCAACTGGTTGGCATCAAGGAGCATTTTTTCAGTGGGCTGTCTGTATCAAATTTTCTTTTCCAATCGGGGAAAAATGTATTAATATCATAGTAAATCAAATGTCTGCTATTTAGGCAAAACTTTGCTTTGAAGCACAAAAAGGAATCACTTCTTCTAATGTTAAATAATTTCCTCTTTTATAGTGGAGAATGGCTGGTCCCCCAATGTTTTTTCAATGGTTTCGTCAATTTTTGTGAATAACAAAATTAAGAAATGTAATACATATATGCATATATATATATATATGTATAATTTACTAAGACTATTATTATAAGCACATCATTATAAAGAAAATAAACGGATGTAAATCAAATTAAACTTTGCATCCCGCTAATGAGCTAACGGGTGTAAATGTATATATTAATTTGCGTGTATTCATGAAATATCTTCATTTCAGAACATAAATACACGAACTTGCATTAACCTCTTCTTCTTCTATATTTTGAGGTTCCACGATCAATTTATTGATAATTCTGGCTCTTATGTCTGTAGATTGGTTCGCAATGCAACTGTGCATTATTTTGAAGGGGATACTTCACTGGTTGCAAGATCTACTCAGCGAAATGTACTAGGAACTTATGGTTTGAAGACAGGAGACAACAGATGCAAATGAGTCAAATGTAGTAGCCTCAAATTTTGTATATAAAGATTTTCCCCTTAGAGATTACTTACAATTCTTATTTTTTCTTTTCAAAAGTTTAAACTGAATTTTTTTTTAGAACTTAAAAAAGGTTATCATTTTGTTGAAAAGTTGTTGTTGGTCATTAAGGGGGTGGGGGGCTGGGGTTTAATTGTTGCACATTAAATTCCATAGTTTCGATGAATGCACGCCTTTTGTAAAATCCGTTTTCAAAACCTTAGCTTAGTGACTGGGTGTCACTCATTAAATGTGATTGTTTGTTAGTTCTTGTACATTAAAGATCATTTTAAATTCAACAATTTTATTTATAGATCAGGAAGTTAACAAGGAAATACTTCACATAAGCAATCTAATTGCAACATTAAACATGGCGTAGAAAACATTTTTTTTTGTTTGTGTGTGTGTGTGGGGGGGGTTGGGGGTGGAATATAAATGCTAGATTGATCGATGTATTAGTCCATATAAATTTAATGTAAAGGCAAACTAGAAATTTCGAAATGATCAATTGAATTAATCAAGAACATATATTGTAAATACTGTTTCGATCAATTTTGAAATTTATGTAGAAATGAAATTGTGAATCTTGCCAAAAAGATATATTTTACAGGAAGTTTGAAAGCAGCACAAAAAGACTGAACTGATTTTTTTTACCGGAAAACTATGTAATTCAAGTATTATATAAAATAGATTACACATTAAATATAAATTGTTAACCATTCTATTTAAGGCCTAGGCAATGCTTTACAAAGCATGGTGGGACTTAGACAAGGAAATGTTACTTTAATAACAATGACAACCAAACGGGGTAAAAATGTTTTATGTACAAATGATTTTTTAAATGTTCTAGTTTGTATTTATTTTTGTAGACCTAGTGCTACACTTGTATTTAAAAAAAATACGTTGGCGGTTTAAATAGAACCATTCAGCTGATCAGAGTGAGACTATTTTGTCCATCGGAATGTCTTCTAATATCACCAATATAAGACTTCTTATACGCGTATAAGTTTAGCCTCATTTCAAATTCTAAAAAAATGTACTGATTATTTCAAGAAGTTCGCAGTAATTATGTTAAGCACATTAGCAGAGCGAACAGTGGGCAACCTCATGGAACTAAAGTTGGATACAGACTTTTACTTCTTTATTGTACATGGAAGGCTTCACGTCGTCTCGGGTATAATTACCGAAGGCCATGGAAAAGCAGATGAAAAGAGAAATCTAAAGTAGATATCTTTGTGTTGCTATTTGGACATAGTAAAAATGTCCATACCCCCCAAAAAAATCTGGACCAAGTTAGCTGAAATAGATAGTAAGCATCGCGAACTTCTGTGCTCTTTTGGAGAATGAGAATATGAGTGAAAAGTCTGTGGGTCATAGTAATCGATATTAGGGCTGGGGTACTGAAGGTATCAATAACTAAATTACTACAATGGCTGGTGACAAAAATGAATGGTACCATGTTTTTTAAAACATATAGTTTTGCGAGGTATTGGAAAGTGTGTGTCTTTCCTGCTTTTTTAAAAATTGTACCCTGTTTTCAGAGATCTTAGTATGAGGGGTTTAATGAGTAGAAAGCAGGTTAAACACCGTGTTTGCTTGTAATTTGTTTCAATTCACTGAGGTAAGAATATTGCGAGACAGTAGGAACGATTCTTAAAACTATTTTTTTTTAAATAAATAAACGTTGCCTAATTAATTCTGGATGACGTCATGTTTCTTCTGATGAACTTCTACAACTAAGGAAATGTAACAAATGTTTGTCTTTGTTGTTACACTTATCTTTTTTTTTTTTTATAATATATATTCTTGAAAAGCCGATAATGCTATTGGAAATATGACTCTTTACGCATAATTTAAGACGTATAAATAATCAAAATAATTTTCTAATAAGTAAAAGAAAAAAGCAACAACAAACAGCATTACCGAATATATCTTTTTGTTCTTGGCCTATGTAATAAAAAGTTAGGTCAGCAATGCTTTAAATATACTTAGTCATGCTTTTGTAGAGAATGCCCCGACTTCCTATATATATAATATATATATATATATTTGTAGTTCATACTTCAATTGAAATCGTCAGGCATTATACTATACAATCTTTAGGATAATTTGCCTGTAACATTTAGAGTTCTGATAATAAAGTTAAAGAATGTGATAGGGCAACAATAGGATAAAAAGAGAAAGCTCACACGAAACAACCATTGGAAATCACAATGGCAAAAAAAAAAAATAATACCTTAGTGGAACTCAAATTCAGAGAAAAGTTGTAGACTCCAAATTGTGAACAAGTAAAATAAAATAATGCCAGCATTTAAGTGTACCTAGTCGTAATGGAAATAAAAATAAAAATTAATAGGATGAGACTCAGTGACTAAGAGAATGATTACTTTATAAACTATATGATCTTATGCAATAATGGCTGAAAAGTAAAATTATTTAACGCTTTTTTTGACTCAACATTATAAATCACTGCTGCTGAATGTGTTTTAAATTATTATTATTTTTTTTTTTTTAACGAAAGTTAAACAAGTAACGAAATAAAGATTTTTTTTATTTCAAATATCTAAAACAGATAAAGGAAATTCCAAATTAGCTGTAAACCTTGTCTTTACCTATTCGATGACATCACTATAGTTAAGTTGTTCTTGTGGTTTCGTCGACTAATCTTCGATTTTTCTAAAGTTTTCTAATCTCTCGTACTAAAAGTAATAATTTCATCAAGCTATTATCCTAGATATCTTTTTTGTGATTATAGGAAAACATTTTGTTTTATTAGAATCTACATTAATCGATAGTTTTAACTTGATATAAGCTTACATGCAATCATGAAAAAGGAATTTATAGGAAATGGTACATTAGATTTAAAAAAAGGACAGATTTAATAGGAACACGTTTATTATATTGTGCATCATCGACAAAGGTTTTGCAATCCAAAAATTCAGATACTATACCTTAAGACATTTATATAATGCAAGAAAAATTGTTTAAAAAGTTCCTTATTACGATTAATACGTAGCTAACCTAAAGAAGTTATGGATTAGAGTGCTCCGTAGATTTATTATCTGTTGATATAAAAGCTCAACAATCTTATGTCCACCATCAACTTCTGGACCAAACTTCCTCAAGCGTTATTTGGACAAATCATTTCTTTTGTTGTAACCAAGATCCTGACTTCCCATTTCAACACCTAGGCTCGTTGGATTTGAATAATAAAACTCTCTTGAGTCGGCATCGTTTTTCTTGATGGTCAGGTAATCATATAAGTTCCCTGCATCATTTAAAGCTAATCCTTCACATGATAAATCCAAAACTGTTTTATTTACATAGTTGGTAGAGTTGTCACTTGAAACTTTCAACGTATCCGTGTCACTTTGTTTCATCGGCGATTTCATTTGTACTCCATTAATTTTATTATCCTTGTTTAAAACTTTTTTCTTTTCTATCTTAGGTAGATCTGTATTTTTTCAACAGGTTTTACATTATTCGACGTTTCCAAAGCAGTCTCAGTGTTTTTGGCGTTAGTTGTTGAAAGGGTTTGCATCGTGGATTTGTCATTCTGAATTGAGCGAGGGTAATCGTCAGGATCATCATATATTCCTGGCTGAGTAACTGTATTTGGTACAGTTATGTAGGGCTTGGAACGAGCTACTCTTTTCCTTACACAAAAGGCTATTATACACACAATTATAACGGCAAGGATCCCGTTGCTTATACTCAGACCAATAATTGTCGGTGTCTGAGATGATGAGAGATCATTTGCCGGTCCGGAAGTTGAAGTTGAGCTGAATTTTGATTCATATTTGGCTGTGACAGTAGTCGCAGCATTACCAGATGTAGATTTTGGCGTTTTATTTATTAAAGTTAAAATTGTAGGTATTATTGTGGTTGATAGGGTCGTGGTATCTTTTGGTCTCGGACAAGCTATTTCGGGAACTCTTGTGATATTTACCTCATACGAAACATTAATTGTTTCACTGATCTTAGTTAAACATATCCCGGCACACTGTTTAAAAAATTTGCTGTCAGAATTGTAAAACACAAACCACGATTTATTATCCTCACAGTAATTCATTTTCCCCATCCGTTTGCATACAAAAATTGTTGAGTTAACATCACCACACTCAAAAGATCCCCCGTAATCAGTGATGTTAATGGATGAGCATGTTGTGCTGGTCACGTTTACATTGGTCCCTCCAAAGACATAACCAAACCAGCAAATTGGTATCTTAGTGTCAATTAATTTCGAAAAAAATCTGTGGAAATCAAAGAAAATGTGGTGATGTTGTGATTTTCACAAAAAAAAAAAAAAATGAAGTAGAAAGCATCAGAGTACGGCGTTATTGTATTACCAAGCCTCGAACTCTCTAGTAACCATACCAGCAAATTGGTATCTTAGTGTCAATTAATATCGAAAAAAATCGGTGGAAATAAAAGAAAATGTGGTGATGTTGTGATTTTCACAAAAAAAAAAAAAAAATGAAGTAGAAAGCATCAGAGTACGGCGTTATTGTATTACCAAGCCTCGAACTCTCTAGCTATCAAAAGTCTTAAATACCATGGATGCATAGTGTCAAATGCGATAATATTGAAGCTCAGAATTTGAAATGTGTCTCCTTTATTAAACACTATTTTAACTAATTTTATAGTGATTATCTGCATCGATATTTGTTATATATTTTTTATTTGTTTAAGTAAGTCAATTTAAAGTGTTATGAAGCAATTGTAAATCAAACAGAAACAACCTTACCCTGTATATGCATCAGATGTTAAATTGATAACCCCTGTAAAGTTACCACTTTGTAATACTATATCTACATGTCCAGCATTTACAGTTAGCATTTGAAGAAGTAGAGAGCAAAATAACAACAACATGACTGTAAAATTGTGTTGTCATCGGTACGTGTCTGGGAGTTGTAAAATAAATGTAAACCCCAGAAATATGTAATACTTAATTTTAGAAACTACGATTTTACAAAAATGACTAAAAAGTAAATATAATTAGTTGCATGAATACGTAAAAAAATACCATTTTAAACACACATATGCGTTTGTATTGTTATGTAAGTGTTATGTGACTCATTAGTAGTGATACACATTATTTATTTGTGGAAATATGTCTTACAACAATTGACTTCAGTAAATATTGATTGCTTCAGTCGATTGTGATCTTGCAAATTTAATCTTCATGCATGTCTTTGCGATTTGAGTTTATAGGCGCCCCACGCTTTATTTTAGTGATATGACTGGAATAACCATGAGCGCCCGCAGGTGGGGGCAATGGGGGCACTTGCCCCCCCCCCCGGATTGCTTGGATAACCATTTTTACACAAAAATAGACAAAAAACAAATAAAAGAAAAAGATAAAAAAAAGATAAAAAAAAAAGAAATTGTCCTGTCCGTTCGTTCACCAAACAAATACGCTACAGTAAATTAAAACTATATTAAAACATTATTAAAAATTTCCCCCCCCCCCTGGAAAGTTAATCTATTTTTGTGCGCCCCCCCACCCTAGAAAGTTTTCTGCGGGCGCCCATGGTAATAACTCTAACATTTTTGTAGACATTTATTAAATAAGTTGAATACCTTGTAGGAGCAGCGGTTTATTAAGTCTTTTGTAAAAAAAAATATTGAATTATTTTATTGTACTGTTTAGTTTTAGAAGATGTCAGTGGTAACTTTTATGTGGTAAAAATGTTGCTGTCATTCCTGATTGTTATCGAAAAATTGTAACCATATATAAGGAACCCCTTAGTGAGAACCTGATGTCCCTATCACTTTCCGTTCCTTGACATATACGCAATGGTAGCGCAATGCTCAGTTGAGGTCACTTGTCACCCACTCAACATGATGAGTTTTATAGTCACTGAGGGTGATGAGTGTACAAAGGTTCAGTTCCAATTGCAGATCAGGAAGTGGGCCACATTCACCCACTAGAAATCAAGTGGACAGAGCAACTTTAAAAAAAAAGGAGTTGTTGTGTCAAAAGTGTGGTTTGTGAAGAGCTTTTCAACTACTGCGTTAAAATTAGTCTCTACATTACCAGAAACAAACGACACATTAGCATTAGTATATAAATGTGAATAATTGAGGTGAGTGCATCTTTAATTTAACATATTTAATTTGCAACATGTAATTTTATTTTGAAATTAAAAATAATTGGTTGGGGATATATTGAAATAATCATCTGATTGGATTAAAGAAAGGAACCTGACCACATCAAAGACGTTTTAAATGAATTTTTTTTTAAAAAAGTATTATATTTGAAATAAAGAGATCCAAAGTCATGGATCGGCAAGCGATTACTTTAAAGCACCGGTTCTCAATCTGTGGGTCGCGACTACTTTAAGACTAAAATTTGGGATTCCAAATAATATATATATATATATATATATATATATATATATGATATTAGTGTGATTTAATATTTTTAATGGTTTGAATAAGCACTGCTCGACTCTCTTTATTTATCCTTTGTCTTTATCAGTAATGAACATTTTTTATCTAATTCAAGTTTTGTAACTATCAATTGCGTAGTTTCCATGTAATTGTCATTGAATTACTACAAATCACTATTGGCTGCAAAAAAAAAAAAAGCATTAAAGGTTATTAATATCACACTATCAAAAGTGCATTTTAAATGCTATGTGTATATCAAATGAGCCTTATTGGCACTTCCATATCGGTAATATTAAGAAGTATACAATTAGCGTTAAAATATCGCTTAAAGAATACATTATTGTACCGTTAAAAAGAGTTTTAGGGGATTATAAAAATAAAACAATGTTGAAAAAAGCGGTTTAAAAAAAAGAGGAAATTTTATTTTTTGCCATCTTGTCACATTATATCTTCAAACACAGTATTATAATAAATATTGACTTATTTACAATAGTTTTTTTTTTTTGGAGTTTTTAAACGATACGATATAAAAATATCTATATAATGACGTAAAAAGATGTTATTACAGCAGCATTTTTCTGTGCTTTTATCATCAATAATTTAGTTGGGGGTTTTTGTGACGGACCGAAAATCGAAATATTAAAATAATCACTATGATAATTAACATTTTAAATATAATGCCAAACAAGAAATAACTCAATAAACTGACAAATCTTTGTTCGTTGGTCACTCTGGGGCTGTCTTGATGACGTCAGTGTACATCGGCGGGTTATCCACGGCCATCATAGGTTTCCTCTCCGGTTCAACGTACATAACGTTCGAGACCACCGGCGGCACCGGGACCAGCACTGAGCTCCTACGTTTCAGCAACACAATCAGTATTATGATGACCACCAACAAGGCGACGATGACGGCTCCTAACACACAACCGATGATTATAGGAAGGTGGTCTTTGTGCTCGGGGCAGGCACAATGGTAGAGCCACTTTCCTGGATTCATGATTTCCTCACTTGTTTCATGGCTAGCAGAATATAAGTTAATTGTTAACACTTGGAAAATAACAAAATTTAATTTTCTTATTATTATTATTAAAATGTGAATTGGATGTAAGTATAAACATTAGTTATTGGATATACCAATAAACATTAGTTATCAAAGATAAGTACAAACATTAGTTATCGGATATAAGAATAAAATTAGTTAAATATACATAAGTATAACATAAGTTAGTATTGTCCATGTAGCATGTTAAAGTGGGTCACGAATGTTGTCTATTATGCATATTCTATTTAGCGCCTCCGTCAAAAATAAATAATCCACTTCACAATGGAAAGTGACCTGGCCAATGTTAAGGGTTTAGTATCTGTTTAACACACCTTCTTTCTGGTAAACTTAAAAAAAAAACACACATAAAAAAACTATGAAGCAATGGTTTTGTGCTTTTTTGTGTTTTTATTGCTTAAAAACATGGTATTAAAAATTTCAAAATTTTCGAAACATTAAGTTATTCACTGCAGCAAAACTGTGATCATAAAATGTTCTTACTTAATTTGTATTTTCTGTTAAAATACCATGCCACTCTGGAAACTATAAGTAGCTTTTAGTTGCATCCAATGCAGGATTTTGAAGTCTACATTCCTATGTCAGACAAAAGCACTTTGAGGCACTTTGACGTTAAATCATTGTACAGTTAAGAAATACTAATATACATTTTACTTTTAACCATTAATCAAACGACTGTGCGCATGGCTACGTTATCACTTTATTTTGCCGTTTTGTTTTTTGTCTTTTTAAGATTATTGTTTGTTTGAACATCATGTCATTTTGTCTGTTATGGTAAGAAGACATGCACGTTTATATGACCTCCTAAATAAAAACCCTTAAAAAAAAATTTTTTTTTAAAAATAATAAAAAAAGAAAAGGTTATTTCTACAATTCTATCTTTTTTTCTTAAATAGAACTATTTCGTGTTACTGATTAATTAATATCCAGATTTTGAGTTTAAAATGTGTGTTATTATCTAAAAAACTTATCAAAGGATAATTTATGTCCTTTCTTTATCTTTCTCGGACCGCCATTTTAGTTTCTTATACTTTGTTTTAAGCATTATCCAAGTGTTGAAGTGACTTGATGCTCACCTGTCTTCCGTTGAATGTCCCCGCCGTTCTCGATGCTTTCTGGCAGTGGCAAAATTTAGCATCAACACAAACATCAGTGACTGAAATATACCTCGCAACATGTTTTGTCTTTTCTGTGTGTCTCCTCTGTGTGTCTTCTCTGTGTGTCTTCTTTATTATATCTTATTTTTTTGAAAAGATAGACATGTGTTTAAAACAATTTTTTGTGTGGGCTTTTTGTTTTTTGAAAGGGCCCCTCGGGCCATGTTCCATATAACTTATTTAGGGTCCTTTTGTCTTACTCTAAATGCATGGGTGGCACCAGTCAGTTAAAAATGTGAGAAATATTATGTGTCAAGTCTACGTGACTGGGATATTTTTAAAATTAAATTGTACATATAAGTATCCTTATTTTTCCTTTTGATATAGCATTTAGATTTGATCCACAAGGTCCAACATTCATTTTATAATGTTCAGGCTAATTAGGTGTTGATCTTGACAAATTTTCCAAAATAATATTTATATAGAATTTTTCATCAACAATTTCGAGACCGTTTCTCACTTATTACTTTATTTTGATTTTATATTTAAAAAAATATTTAATTTTTATAAGAAATTTGAGGCTTATCATAGAGAAACATATTTAAGAAAATTGTTTTAAAACTTTAATGAAAAATAAGAAAACTATTTAAAATTATATAATTAGAGCAGACTTCTATCGGTCCCAATGTTAAGAAATGTTTGTATTCTGTGCCCAAATAAATCTGTAAGAGACTAGTCATTTACCATTCACATAGTATGACGGCAAAGCTAGAAGAAAATTACTGAGACATCATAACTATTTTGCAAAAATGTATTTGTGAAGTTTCTGTGTTTCAAGTTCAAATAAGTAGTATTTCTATATTTAAGTTAGATGTATTTCATGTCAATCAAGCACACATGAAAGATACAGTGAAGAATGGTGCAGGGGAGGTAAGGAGTTCTAAAATATATTAAAAGTAACATTATCTATTCTAATCAATAAAACTGAAATTATATTGACATTTTAGGGTTCGGGCTAATGTTGAATTAATGATTGATTTCCAAAGACGTTATATATATATATAAATATAAACTATATATATACATTGCTTAAGACTGTTTTTAATAAATCGAATATTTAACGATAACTTTAGGGATAATCACCAACTCATAGCAATAGAAATAATGACTGTTTTGACTGCTTGCATCTAAAATGTAATATCATAAAATGAGTTTTTCGAACGATTGTTTTCATATGTCTGAAGAGTAGTTTATTTCATTAACTGATCTAGAGTATCCACAAAAATGTAGGGTTTTTTTTTTAAACGAAAGAGAAATTACTACAATATATATTTATATATATATATATATATATATATATATATATATATATATATATATATATATATATATATATATATATATATTTCTAATTATATATAAAATATTAGAAATCTCATTAATTACAGTAACATTTTAATCAAATAATCGCTATACTGCTCGAATAAATTACTATCCCTATCAGGATCACAAAATAAATCGGATCACATTCTCCAGCTTTTTATTCGTATAGATTACATTAGATGAGAAGCTAATAAATTAAATAGTTATTTCCAAGATTATATAATATTCATTAAACTTTTATAGAATGAATTAGCAATCATGTTTTTAACAATAATGTGTACACTATCTGACTTACCCTGGAAGCTATTTGTCTGTTATGTTATAAAATGTTACGTCCGGGAGACCTGCAGACATGTAAGTTCAATCATATTTGGGTTGACTAAAGCAGGGAATCATTACCTGTGACAAGCCAAACATAACGAATCAGTTGGTGCCGTTTTAAAGGTTCAGTATGAACTGATGGTACTGTGTTACCTCGTATTTTATATCATTCCCAAATAGTGTTGAAAACATTACTAAATTTAACAGTGTTTAGCGAAAGATGTCTGCCTTTGCAAAACATTTTTGGAACCGCTGAGAATATCTAACCATTGTTTATGATTCGGGGCCACAGTGTCTGAAGTTTGTTGTTAAACTACGTGGTGTGTCATGTTCGAACTATGGTCCGAACTGTGGCCTCCATAATCACACAAGCATGAATTCATAGCGTTTACTACGGTGTATCTTCTTAGTTATGAATAAAAATAGATGAGTGATATCTGTAGCTCTAAAATCAGGGGTCTTAAACTCAAATCATTGGGGGGCTACAGGCAGGGACGTGCTGGCCAACGACGACGCGACGAGCATTCGTCATGGGCCTTTTTGGGCAGTTATTACAATCTCCGGTGTGCGGGGGGGGGGGGGTCTCCGGGCCTTTCTTACTACCCCGTTCGTCACGGGTTTTCAGGTGCCCGCAACCGGTATCGCTTGAAAATGTTCATCAGTATGTTTGTCCTTGAACTTTGACTTGTTAAAGTTCATAGTGGAAATGAGCTTTTCACACAGATTGGTACTCTCAAAAAAAGACAAAAAACAACACATGATCCCCTATCTCGGAATTTCACTCCCTCGTAAACACTAGCGGCAATTTAATAGTGATTTTTTGATACTGTATCGGGTTCCTACTATTTGCACAATTTTGGATGTGTGTTACCCACTACAGACCTTATTAACTTTTCTCAAAACGCACTTTGGCCATGGTTGTCTCATAAATGCTATAATATAAAAACTTTTATTCCGATTTTAAAACGGTTTTTACCATTATAATCAATGTCCAACCTTATAGAAGCATAACAAAATCAGAATTAGACTTTTTGGTGAGATTCGACTGAAACCGTCACAGTATAGATATGAGAATTATTTTAAAAAACGAGCGGGCCGTATTAACATTACACTTTGCTGTCCTGAAGCTGGCTGCAAAATATCGTCTGCGTGTCGCAATTGGTTCGCGGGCCGCGAGTTTGAGACCCCTGCTCTAAAATCATTTCAATATATAAATATGTATGTATATTTGTTGACTCATAAAAAACAAATTCCTTCTCTGGTGGTTCATTACATTGACTCAGCTTAAATGATGCCCATGGTTACCGTATATACTCGCATATAAGACGAATTTAGAGTATAAAATACAATACTGAAATCATGGGGTCAGCATGTGTGCGCATAAAACAAAATGGACACAAGGACAGACACTAACGCCAATTTTCCAGCCACACATTTTCATAGCTATCAGACTTTTTATTTGGTTGTGTGTACAGAGTACGAATGTATAAATACAGAGGTGTCACTTCAAAGAATTTAATGTGTAAAGAGCAGAACACGTTTTTGTGTCATTCCAAAAGGTATAGAAACTGGTATGTAACATAAAAGTAAGCATTTTACATCTTTACAGTACCACATTTTATGAACCAAAATATGGAGTAAAATTACACAATTGTATGACGGCTTATATGCGGGTTTTTGCAAAAAAAACTAGCCATTTTAAAGCAGTTTTAGGGGGTCGGCTTATATGCGATGCAGGCTTATATGCAAGCATATACAGTAATCATAGATAACGCAAATTAGATCCTTAAATATCTAGGAAATATCTATGCTACTGAAGTTATATTTGGCAACATAAAAGATGAGCCATTTAAATTTGAGGATGAGTGAGTTTTTTAAAGTATTTTTTTTTTATAACTAAACAATGATGCTGTATAATAAATAGATGAATAACTAATTACAGCTTGTGCCTTAAGTCGGCATATATTCTTCTTAAAAATCTTTGGTTAAGCCCCAAACACACTAATGAAGGCTAGGCCAAGGCGTACCTAGAGTATTTGGCGCACATGCTAGGGTTTAGGAAGTGTTTTTTATTTAAATTAGCCATTGATCACTTTTGTGGATACTTTTAAAGATTTTCCAAAGCAAAATTGAGAATCCCTTTTAACACATTTGAAATTAAAATTCAACGGATAGTAAAATATACTAGGTGTACACTGTTAAATTGTGTAATTTTTTACTGTGTAAACTCTGAGAGAGTTGTGACTAACAATTAATTTAGTAAAAATTGAGTTTTATGGCGTCACCCTTTAATTTGTCCTCATGTCATCTGCGCTAATTACCATACATTAGGTACACCACTGAGTCCAAGCTTTTTCCTCAAAGGCGTTGTATTTCTTCGATCGCGAATTAGGAATAAGATGACACGTATGGCAAAAACGACTGACGATACAGTTATACCGACGATGATGGATGTTGTGTTGACAATGTTTGATGATGGGGTGATGTTAATGACCTTCTGCGCTGTTGAAGACATTTGACAGTTGTCGGGATCTAATGTAGGGACAACATTTTTGTCTGATGACACAATTAAAACAAGTCGTGTATGTATCCACCAAGATAGCACTCAATATATCTAACCTTAATTGTCTAGATGTCACCTCTCACTACATCGCTAATACTGCTCATACATTCTTACTCCGTGTATAAACTTACCTCCACGAATAATTCCTTGACATGAACTCGTACAGTGTCATAGATCAAAGTCTAAGCACATGAAGAAAGTTTCATGCAACGACTACGAGTCAGTGAACAATGAAGTGAATGAAATTCGTATTTTCTGTTTTTGTTAAAAAGAACAAACTTCCCCTCTCAATGCACATTTACGCCAGTCAAAGATATAATAAACACGTCTCTGTGAACTGCGTGACCATCTACACCACATCCCCCCCCCTAACATGTGACCATAGCCTCAGGGAATCACCATTCATAGCCTACGCCGTCTCACTCGATCTTTCATCTGTGAACTTTGAACTTTGACCATGACGGTAACGGTCATCCTGTGACAACTTTTATATCAGGTATTATAAAGACATTTCACAAGAAGCTTTAAATTTTTAGTTGAACCTAATAACTGCTTCTAAAAAAAAAAAAATATATAGTATGTCTTAAAATGAATTGTAATTTAATTATTTCTCCTATCCTGTTAAAGTTTTAAAATAAAATTCTTTACAAATCCTTGAATGTATACAATTTTGATTATCCTATAAATAAATTGAAACAAAATAGTTCATTCACGAAAGACGTTTTAACGGATCGTAATATGTTAAAGGTTAAGTTCATGGTGGAGGGGCAAAAAGGGGCTTAACTCATATTGTTTCATCAACACCATTGTTTGATTAATGGTTATTGGTGTAATGGCATTTTGATGATAAGGAAAAAAAGATTTAACCAACTTCTTCTAAGACAATGTACTTGTTGTTAACATCTTAAAACATTTAATGCAACCGGCTAAAAAGGTTCGCATCATAGCAACTAGACGTAATCTTTTTATTAATATAATTTTATTATTTTAAATTTTTAATTAAACTATAACTAAATGATGAATAATCAAGTAAGAAAAAGAAAATAAACACACACACCATTATATTGTTCATGGCTTTTAAGACCATTTTAAATCCATTTCCTAAACTGGAAATATCTAATTCTTTAAATTACAATTTCCTAGCTTAAACAAATCGCAAATGTGTTTTTTTTTAATTGATCCTACGTAAGGTGTGTAGACAAGGAAGGGGATAAAACGTAAATAAATGCACATTTAATATTATTTAACAAGAAGCTGAAATAAGATTGAAAAGGGAATTGCCCTGAATTGAAATGATTTTATATATGCTAACAAACATGACTGCTTCAAGAGAAACAAAATGGATAAAAGAAGGAGACAAAACGGTGGGAACGTCTTATTAATATTTCAAGTTATTTCCCTCGCCACCCCTTAGTCCAGACTAACCCGATACCAGCCTAGCTATTCTGTAAAATCTCTTTATTTCTTTGTAGCGAGTCTCTTTCTTTACACAATTCCTTCTTTAAAATAATAATAATTTATTTTTTTTAAATATATATTATGAGTAATTTGTTCAAATTGTCGAAACTATGTTTGCTTTGTTCAAAAGTGGATGGACTGTAAGAGAATCTAAAATACTGGTATTATATCTTTTTAATTTTAAATGGTATCACATTAGCTTTACATTTATTTTTATTATTATTTTGTGTTAGGGGCTTAGAATGTTTATGATTATGTACACACTATTTGACAGCTCATCAACGTGTTTAGCAGATGTTATGGCTGGGTCCCAACACATACACCATTTAAGGCCTTACACAACTGACCTCATTCAATGAGTGGCCTAGTTTACAATAATGGACCTCCTGTTAATGTGAATTTATGTGGTGCATTCACCTGTAAATCCTGTAACAGGAAGTAAAATTCAGTGTAAACGTTGGAGGCCTTTAGCCTAAACTTTAAGTTAAGTTAGCTTTTACTTTACGCTTGAACTAATGTTTTAAAATAGTGTGACGTGCAACTTTAAGAAGTATCACATTTTACATTGATTGTGTGTAAAATCAGTCATAACACAATTGAGTTTTAAACGTTGACATCGTCTGTTTGTTCGTGGGTGGGTTGTGTACACATATTATTTAGGCTCTGTCAGTGATTTCAAGTAAAATGCACATTTAGACTTAGTAGAAATTATATTCGGGTTTCATCTTATTCTTATACAAGTAAATAGCAGTTAAACTCAAGGTACCATATACACATTTCATACATTATAAACATAATTGGACATACCACGTAACACACAATTTATAAATTACAAACTTAAATACATACCTAATAAGCCAATCTCAATGATTTATTTTGTGAAGTCCAAGTGAAGTACAATTGAAGTAAATTACACCTCTTAAATTCAACATTGCCTGAAGTTATTCTCCATTAGAAAACATTTCTTTTCATAACAAGTAAAAAATGTAGAGTTTAATAAATTATTATGTTTTTAGCTTTACTTTAATGTTAGCATTTAACATTTAGTTACGCATACAAGGAAGTAATCATTTTAATATATAAATAACACATATTTTCTACATCATGAAAAGTCCGTAATTCTACATATGTAATGGTTTTAAAATCATTGTTATCCCATTACTTACACAATAGAATCATTATGTATGGACTCGTGTATGTCAGTGCCAATGGTAGGCAGAACGTTGTAAGGGTTTTCAGGTGCCTTCTTATTTTCACCAAGTTTAGAATACATGGTGTCATGTTCTGGGTTATCGAGTACCGTTACCTCAAGCTCATAATATTCATGAACATTGTCATTGGTTAAACCATCGAGATGTGTATCATTATGCTCGTCGTAATATTTATAACTGCTATATGTATATTCATTTAGTGGTTTTGGGTTTTCACTAAGTCTTTTTGTCGATTTTCGTTCGTTGTTTTCTTCAGTCTCTAAACTAGCTTCATGTTTTGCGTCTCCGCTCATTATAGCCCTATTTTTCATTGACGAATTTTCCATTTTCAAATGTACCCTGTGGTCAGTTTGGACGGACATTATGTCCTCATTTTGATTTAAGTCTCCAGTGTATTGATCTATATTTTCTCCAAGGTGCATTTGCTATTGACGTTGCAATTTTCGTTAGATTTATAACAATGATCATTACTTGTATCTTCAGGTTGTTCAGATGCCATTGAAGCACTGTTCATTGATTGTGTGATCCTTGATTTGACACAGCAAATGACAACAATGATCGCAATGATCAACACGTCAGCGCCAACACAAACTCCTAGAACTAGAGATATGTTAGCACCGTTATCAGTTTGATTACTGCCTGGCGTAGATCCAGTTGTTTACATAGATGTAACTGGGTATGATGCAGACGTTTGAGTCGTATCTATAATATGGCTAGAATAATATAAGTTGACATGAGTTTCTTCTGTGTTTTCTGCATGATTAAATGATGTGATCTTTGATGTTAGATTATTTGTTTTGTTTATAGGCGTGGATGGGGGAATTGTGTTAGAATCTATAACAGTGACTGTTGTACTTGACTTTGTCAAAAATCCCTGAGTAGAATTCTGTAATTTAGATGTAGTTTCTGGTTTATATGGAAAGGTATACTTTTGACTTTGAAATGCCGAACATATCGTTATAGAGGCTGCTTCACTAATGTTGAGCAGGATGTCCAAAGTTATGACACTACATGATTTCCCTGATTAACATGAATTGTTATCTTTTATTCTTAAACATTGAAACACAAAATTCTGAGCGCTGCAATGGTATGACATTGTATCCTGTCAAGTCGTCAACAGCTTTTGTTGAATTGCTGTCAGTGATAATGGAACTTTCAGTGTATGTATAGTTTACGGAGTAACAGAGTGATGAATTTTTGAGTGAAGCTTCAAAGAACCTAATATATAAAATTGGAACTTTTAGAAAGAAAATCTAATTTAAAATGTACATGTACGTGCACGATACATGTTTAATACAAAAGTGTTAAAATTAATATTTCTTGAAATCAAACATATTTTATTTTTAAGTTAATTCCTATTGTTTTTAAACTTTAAAACATAATTCAAGATACCTTAAACGATTGAACAATTATTTAACGGATACATGTAGATTTTAAATATAATTATATTGTATTTGACTAACAAAACCCGCTGCCCCACACAAACATAAAAAGACAAAAAAAAAAAAAAAAAAAAAAAAAATAAAAAATTTTACTTAAACAGTTTCACAATTTTACCTCAAGTATTCAACATTATTGAAGATAATTTGATTCGTCTCATTTGAATTGCTGACTTCATCTTGAATTTCAACAATGAAATCTGCTTTAGAAAGTATTAAAAGAAAACTCAGAATTGATGATCTTAAAAATTCCATAGCTCTGGTCATGCATAAATATCTAACCTGAAATGAATAATAGAAAGAAATACTGATTACAATTTCACTCTTATATTTTGTTCAAACTTTAATATGCTTTTCTAATTACAATGTAGTAGTTATAATGAATTGAACAAATTTAAATTAAAATTAAATGTTATTAAAAACACCATTTTAAATAAACATAGCTGAATTAAAATAGTATAGTAATTCCTATTGCTAATTAACTGTATTAAGTATATTTTAATCAGTATGCTATCTAAAAAAAAGTTATTTTAAAATTACCTTTATCTATTCTATCCTTGTTGTCAACGTCCAGCAACGGAATGTATTCCTCATCACATAAGATACATTTTTAAATATGTTTTTAAATATATATATATATATATATATATATATATATATATATATATATATATATATATATATATATAAATATATATATATTTATATATATACACATTTATATCTATTTTTAATTTTCAAAAATTCCCAAGAGAAATAATCATGTTCCTTTTTTTGTCGTGGGGAAAGAGAAACATCTTATTGTATTTGTAAAGCAACCGGGAGACATGATTTGTATTAAAAAGGAACATAACAGGCATTTTTACAGTATGCTCAATGATATGGACGACTTTACATGAATGTTTAAATGACTTGTGAGGATGTCTGCCTGGGAAAGTGAAACATTGCGATTCTCATCAGGCGTCGTCTCCTGTTAATGATGTCATGTTGGATTATTTTGCAGTCGCCTTTATATTCATAATTAGAAATATGTTAAGTTTAAAACAACTACGATAAAGATGAGATCATCGGTTCACTCCCATTTTCCATTCATATGGGGATTTTCTTTTTTATTTATTTTTCCGTGTACGTTATCCTGAATAAAATGCAGCAAAGTTCTCATTTCATTGTACTTGCCGTTTGTGCACACGGTTACCAATTATTTTGAAGGATATTTCGTGAGTGTCATAATTTTACAGCTTACGGTCAGAAACTTTTAAATGTAATAACGTCGCATGTGCTATTCTGTGCACTTTCTATATTCCAAGACTTTTTATCATAATTCACCACATTGTGGTCTATCATCGAAATTGCCGATTTACAACTCTTTCATCTCATCCAATTTGTTTCTGATTAAAGATTAATTAAACTTAATGTCAGGGACATTTAAATATA